TGGGTAACCTCAAAGCATTCTTTTACAGGTGTTCTGTTTTGGGGATGATCATTCACAGCAGAGTTCCTTCTCTGCCCTTATTTGTTCTCAGGGCAGGAAGTCTTTTTTCTAATTATTAGAAGATACCGGGAGTTTATATAAACGTGACTTAAGTCAGACAAATCTAGATCAAAACAAAAAACTTAAATTTTTTTTTTTTAATGAGAGGCTGGTAGCAACTGCTGAATTTAAAAGATTAGCGACGTGTAAAGTTGGGCAAAAGATTTTCCTCTATGAAAGGCAATAAAAATGGGACGAACTAATTTGTCATCTAGCTCAAAGTGATGCCAGAGGAGGTGTAGTGGACTAAGATATACAGGTAAAACTTTTACTGTCTCAACACTGTAACTTATCTGGCCACAGCACAGAAACTCCTGTTGAGAGTAATTCAGTCCACACCACAGCCGCTTATTTGTAAACTTAAAATACACAAGGCATCCTAATAAATCAAATTCTCTAACAGTAAGTTTTTCACTCCCTGCGGAGTATTTCAGACTCAGCATGTATAGTTATTGTGGCTTCACAGCAAGTACAGGCAAATGGTCACAACTCAGAACAGGGTACATAATGAAAAAATGGAAAGTCCGCCGTAAATGAAACTTGGGAGAAGCGAGCAGCTAATGAAATTTGCTGCTGGCATCCATCTCGTTCTCCTTCTAGATCCTTTACTGACCCATAGTAAACACAAGCAATGGTTTCTATAGCATTATGAACTGACCACAGGAGACTCAGGAAAAAAACCAAAACCCTAGAGCTGCCTATAGGAAATTAAAGACGGTCCCAAATCTCTGACATGCTTTCATACACTGGGATGTTACCTCCTCTCCCACAGATCTGAGCTGACCAACAGTATGGCTGTAACTGTATGACGGTTTTAGGTCTGGCCTTTAAGAGGACTGGCACTGTCTGCCCAGCCTCTAGGAAGGCCTGAGCTGCGGGGTGAGGAATCAGACAACCTTTAGAGAAAGAACACAGCACAGTCCCAAGACTCAAAGCACAAGAGCCCCTGGAGCCACACTAGACCAAACTGTCACTTGTGAGAGATCTCTGGGACCTACTGGACCAGTCCAACTACCTGCTGAATATACCACCAGGCAAACTGAACGGCTGCCACAGGGAGTGGAACTGCCCAGAAAGCCCTCCCTTAACTCCTGACTCACAAAGTCATGATCTACAAAACGGAGGCTGTTTTAAATCAGCGAGCTTTCGTGTAGTTTGTTACACAGCAGTAAGTAAGTGGAAAATTATCTTTCAGTGTCTGCCTTGGTAGTAACTCATTCGTTCACTCACGAATGACCTCAAAGTGGTGATTCCTGACTCCTCTCAGTGAACAGTATCCCCAGCAAATATTTACCATTTAAATCTGCTCAGAGATCAAATGCATCATCTTTTGAAAGAATTCTAGTAACTTACTCTTGAATTACAAATTGAATACGATTACAAGCTCCTATATAATCCAGTTCACCCCAACTTTTTTTTTGTTTTTTTTTCTTCCAGTACCAGGAATCAAACTCACGACCTTGTGCTTGCCAGGCAGGCGCTGTGCCATTGAGGTAAATCCCCAGCCCCAGCCCCAACTTTTTATAATAAATGCAGTGCATGCGATGTAGCAAAGACAGTCTGGGCTTTGGAATCAGATTGGTAGATAATGGTCCTGGAATTTATAACCTTGGGCTCATCTGTTTCCTCATCCAGAAAATGTTGCCTCCACTAGAGGCAAGAGAGCCCGTGGAGAAGTGTCAGCCTCAGACTGCCTACGTTAAACTGTTTCTTCCTTTCTAAAATGAAGATAATAACAGCATCTACTTTCATAGGGATTGTCATAGGATTAGATGAGTTGATCGATTTAAGCACATGAACATTCAAGAAAGCCGGCCATTTTTAGTACTGCTATTATCATCTCATAGGATTATTTTGAGCATTAAGTGCAGTTACACCAAAAAAAAAAAAAACAGTATAGCTAATTCTGTCCCCTTCTTTTTGAACTTTTATCTCAGTAGTGAAAAGTGCAGGCTTTTTAAAAGCATACATCCCACACACTGATCAAGTGGATTTAGGAGTCTCAGTTATGGAAAGCTACATCTAAACTATGTCTAAATCCAATATTGCTACACAAATTCCAAGCATGTTGTCTGCTACTAAAAAGTACTTAGAATTTAATTAATGGAGCAGATTCTCCTACATATTACCTATCACTGGAGACAAGTGATTTCACAGAATAGGAGACCTGCTCCCAGGAGATATTTTAATTTCTGGCATTACAGATTATTTCAGATATAAGATTCACAGTATATTCAGTTGTGATGTAGGACATAAGAATTAGAGACAGTCACACAAGGAAAGATAGGTCTAAAAATAACTGAAATCTTCAGATGTTTCGTTATGTTGAAAACATCCAGGGAGGGAAAAAAAAGAGGAAGATTTGGCTTTTTAGTACCCGATGTAAGAACAGACTGAGTTTACTTTGGGAAAATAAAATGAAGACTTATAAGACAGGGGAAAAGTACAGGTTTCTAATCTAGAAAAACAGTACTTCTGGTAAGAAATGAAACTACTCAAATTATTTTTTAATTCTAGTGGGAATAAATTCATTCTGGCCATCAGGATGCAAACCAGTTCAAGTTAACTCAGAGGAATGGCAAAACTCACTTTTAAAAACATTACTTTTCAAACAGTATTTTCTGTAAACATGGTATCCACTTAACACCATATTATCATGTGTGGGAATTATTTTTAAGAATTATCTTGTTATGACCAGCTACCACCCTAAACTTTAATCTACCTGCCCCTTTAAGGCAAGAACAAATCATAATCCATTTTAAATGCCCTTCAAGCAATGGAAATCAAGAAATAGGAAAACAAAGTGGTTTGTGAGAAAAGGATCTGGAAAAAATGGCAAACTCTTTATAGACACTTATGCATAGTTAGGCATGGTGACACACACTTATAACTAGGAGGCTGAGGCAGAGGGTGGAAAGCTTAAGGCTAGCCCCGGTAACTTTGTGAGATCCTGCCTCAAAATAAAATATAAAGGGCTGGAGATGTGGTTCAGTGGTGGAGCACTTGGCTACCATGTACAAGGCCCTGGGTTCAGTTCCCAGCACTGCAGAAACAAGAAAATTAACAAACATGATACAAATATGACACTATGAATCTTTTTAAAATTTTTTTGTCTTTTTGAGACAAGGTCTCACTATGCAGTTCAGGCTGGCCTTGAGCTCACTTTGTAGCCCAGGCTGGTCTCCGACTCACAATGATCCTCCTGTCTCAGCCTCCCGAGTGCTGGGATTACAGGCATGTACCACCACACCTGGCTGACACTATGAATTTAAAGCCTTAACTATACCACTGTAAAAGTACGATGGCAGGAGTAAAAAATTTTGAGGGTAAGTACTCCAACTCAAGTTTAGGAGATGGTAAGCTTTTCCTGTCAAATTCCAGACAGTAAATATTTTCAAGATGTACCGGTCATGTACTTTTATCATTACACTAGAAAGAGACCATAAATAAGACCCAAATGCATAGGTGGGGCCCTGTTCCTTGATTCTACAAGTAGGTGACTTTAGGATTTGGCAGGAAGGCTGTGGTTTGCTGAACGCTGAAGTATTTGCCTGGCAACTGCTTGTCTCTTTTGGTAGGCAAGAAACCTTGCCTACCAAAATATTTTAATATTTTAAATTCTTCCTCATGTGGCACACGAGCTCCATTTCCAAAGACTAAATTCCACAATGACTCATCTGTTATTCCTTGAACAAATACATACACAGCTAAGGGGAAAGACATTTGAAGAAGAAATCACACTTGTTATAGGTGAAAAATGGAAAACTTCCAGGATTCTAACTCCTTTTTTTTCCTTTTTCTTTCTTTCTTTCTTTTTTTAAGACAGGATCTCACTAGGTAGTTCAGGCTGGACTCACAGCAATCCTCCTCCCTCAGCTCCCAAATGCTGGGATTATAGGCTTGTGCCACCACGCCCACCTCCAACTCCTTTTTTTTTTGGGTACTGGGAATAGAACTCAGGACCTTGCACTTCCAACTCCTTTTTGATTAAATACTTTTCCATCATGATTCAGAAGACTTTTGTCTGCTCAGTTTAATTTCCTTTTCATTATCCATTGCTTTGATTTTTCCTTTTTTGTTTTGTTTTTGTTTTTTGAGACAGGGTCTTGGTATATAGTTCGGGCTGCTCTCAAATTTGCTGTCATTTTCCTGCCTCAGCCTCCTGAGTGCCTGGATTACAGGTGTGCCCAGCTGATTACATCATGCCCAGCTACTTTCATTTTTAAAAACTGGATAATCTAATTAAATAAAATGTAGTTTTTACAATCTAAAAAAAAAAAAAAAAAAAAAAAACCTACAATTAGCGTCAAGTAACAGCTACAACTCTAAAAATTATTTCATGGCCAGAAAGTATTTAGTCATTAAAAGTGAAGGTTCCTATTTCATTCTTCCACCAGACTACCTAGCACGCAAACGAGATTTCAACTGTGAATTTAGAAGGAAAACAATCTATGTCTGCTCTCATACCATCTTTGGAAAGCCACACCTGACTTACAAGGGGAGATGGAAACACAAAAAAATGGAAAAACTTTCCTTAACTGCTGCTTTCTTCGTGTATCTATGTTGTACAAGCTAAATTATTTTTACATAGTCTTAATATAATAAAACGGTGTGGGGCAGTTTACAACTTATGTAAAATGAAACTCAGCTTAGAGGTAAATATGGTTCTGAGTAAAAAAGAGAACAAGTCATTAGAAAGAGACTCTCTGCCTAAGTTACTGTCATGCCAATGCTGTATTTCATCCTGGTATTAGAGGTTTTGTCTTTTTGAGACAGGGCCTTGCTATGCAGTTCAGGCTGACCTTGAGCTCACTTTGTAGCCCAGGCTGGTCTCCAACTCGCAACGATCCTCCTGCCTCAGCCTCCCAGGTGCTGGGATTACAGGCGTGCGCCACCACGCCCAGCTTTGGTATTTGAGTTTACAGAGAATAAAAGGTACATCTTAAAATGAAAACAGTATACTTTTGGCTTAGAATACTGGATAGGTAGGTCTTTGCTATCAAGTGCCACTCAATAAATGAAAATCATCCCAGTGGTTACAATTTCATGGCATTAATTTTCTTGATGATTTAGCTCTCAATGCTAATGAGTTCTCTTCACAAGGTGACATGTGCAAGTTAAGATTTGGTAATGAGTTTTCAGCATCAGCTAAAGTCCATTTAAGTATATCCTTAAGAGGTATCTTCCATGCACACACGATTATAGGTATTCACTAATGTACACAGAACAGCACTAACTCCTACAACCCTACAGTGATGTTAGCTAAGAACTAGGACAATGTCACAGTGAACATGGCTAAGAATCCTGGATATTTAGAATACTATCTCTTCTAACTAAAACAGGGGAATTGCTTTCAGAAGTTTTAACTTGTTTAATAGCTAGCCTGGCTTACACTTTCATGAATTTCATGGCTCTAGCTAGGCCAGTTAAGAGAGAACCAGCGAACACGGCTGTGCTGATGTGGTTCTAGACAACCAGGAAGCACTCTATTCACAGTATCGTTACAGTAAAAACTTACATAGAAGCGAATGAAAGGGAGGGGGAACCTACCGAACACGCATATTATTTCCACATGAGTTAGACAGTCCCTACTTCTTTTAAGACATTTGTTGCAACTCTGAAAGGAGTGCTAACAAATGCTGCAAAATGTTTTCTCTTTCCAGAAATCACCGTACTTTACCTTTCCAATTTGGTAACAGTTTAAAAAGCTCTATTTTTCCTACATGTAATCTAAAAAAGAAAGCAAGCAATAAAGAACTTTTCAGCATACTATTTCTCAAAAGTAGGATGGACTGAATTTTTTTTTGGTAGGCTTAAAAGCTCCACTTAAAGCAGCATCTTCTGTACTTCCCAGATCCCTGCCTATTTAACAATGGCGAAATCTGTCCATGGAAAGCCTTGACCATCAGCTGAAACGTACCCCTAAGGATTCCAGTCAAATTTCAACTCTATTTTTCCACAGGGCATAACCAATTCCCCTAAGATGGCTCTAGGAGACAGTTTTCACCCTATCATACTGTTATCCAACTACAAAGGGTGCCTCAGTCTATGTCTCCTAAAACATAGTTTCAATGCTGCCTTTAAGGTTAGGCTCTTATCAAATGGTAGCATCATGACACTCCTCCAAAAGATGATTTTCTATGCCTTTCCAGAAGAGAAAACCTTTCTCTAGCGATAGAGTGCAGCTGTATGTGTATGTGCAATTCTCAGATTGCTTAAAGCTACCCTTTGCATTCTAATTTCTCATCACTAAAAGTCATTCTTTTTTACCTACCTTCCACATACCACAAAACATTCTCAGAAAAGGAGCACACAACTAACATTCTCACAAATGGCTCTCCAGTACAGGTTTGACCAGGCCCTCTCCCAAATCTCTGTTACAATCATCTATGTCTCTGCACCAGAACAATTTCTTAATCCATTACATAGATATATTTTTTAAAAATCAAGAGAAACTAGAGTTTTTTTTTCCTCTTTTTCTATTTGCACTCTAAACTGTAAGTATCTATCTGCCTGCATCCCTTAGTATTCTTCCTTTTTCTCTGCATGCAAGACAGGGCATCTAAAGCTCTACGTGCTTGGTAAGTTCATTCAATGCTGGATTAAGAATCTCAGAAAAACCCAGAATTACTAAAAAGGTCCCTTTGAAATTTTAAAAATCTTAGGAATGATGAAGTTACCAGACCTGATCAAAACTGATCCTTTGATCATTTATTGCAACACGATTGTGCATGATGTTTTCTGGTAAGTGCCCTGTAGTGTATTAAAAAATCAAAGCTCTTGGAGTCATCAGCAAGGTGCTGATGGTTGGTTTATGAATAACTAGGTTTGCAGACCCGAGACAGATTAAAGTGAGGTTCTTCATTGGACTGAAAATATAAAGTACTACATATGTAGAAGGAAATGAAATTGTGGTCGCAGTAAGAACAATAGTGTTGAGTTTCTTCAACCACAATATTGCAGAAAAACTGTGTTTAAAACTTCATATAAAAGTTATCAAATATGGACACCTGTGGATTTAAAAATACAATCCAGGCTCATTTCACTGGAAAGTGACATTTGTGATGTAGAATATTGCTGCTGTGTGACAGTAGGAGCCAGACAGACTGGATGAAACTTTGGTAGTCAGCCTAACGGGTTAATTCATCTGAACTTGAGCCATTCCCTTAACACCAAGAATGGAAAAACACTACGGTTTACAGGTATCAGTCAGGAAGCTGCAGTACGGCTCTGCGTTGTTCAACATCTGCAAAACACACCAACACTTCCTTCCCTGCTCCTCCTTCCTCCATACAACGTTCCGGCCCCCAAACGCAGAAGTGCCCACTACACTTCGCTGCTCGGTTCACTTCCAGGTGCCTAAAGTGCTTCAGGTGATGCTGCCCACTAGAACACTGCTCCAAGACGGCTGATGACGCGACACAATCAGGCTAAGTACTGGCTGTCTAGTAAGGGCAAAGGAAAGTCTAACCTTCCAGAACAGGAAGAACCACCAGTATTCGTTCGTTTTCTCCTTTCAACGTGAAGATGCACGCATTCCGGCAGGGAAGGATGCCTCCTCCTCACGACTACCTCTCTTGTGGTTGGCTGCTTCCGATGGCTGAGGCTCCTGTTGCATTTTTTAGATACTGGGCAATGACAGCCACCAAGATGATATGGATCTAAGTACAGTGTTCAAACGTGACTGGCAGAGAAATGACGATTTATCATAGTTTCACTAAAAAATTTTTTTCTTATAAAGTTAACAAACCAAGGCTGTTGATCCCTGAATTAGAAAGTTGATTTGCTTAATTATTTTTCCAAGTGAGGTGGAAGGAGGAGGGGACGAGCCTTTAGTGCTTTTATGTATGTTGTTGACCCTCTAGTTTGGCAACATCTTGGGAACATCTGACCTAGCGATGTGGCATTTTGTGAATCTAAGTACCAGCCCATGGCCCTCACGTGGGCTGCTTATGGCCCAAAGGGGAAGAGGGTCCGCCCCCTCCCCCTCAATATTTCAGTCTGGCCCAGTAGTGGACACAGAGCCCTGCGCAGTTTCACCAGGAGCAACTGTCTCTTCCTGCGAAGGTGACTCTTCCTCAACTTGTCCCCGAGATGTGACAGTTGTTTCGGGTGAGATGCTGTGAGGCCCCTCCAGCGGTATACAGCCAGGGTGGTTTTTGCGAAAGTGCTGATTTAAGATGGCCTGGAAGGGGAAACTTTTGCCACAAACATGACAGTGAAAGGGCTTGTTGCCTGTGTGCTTACGGATATGATACTCCAGCTGATCCTTCCGGGTGTACTTCTTGCCACACATGCGGCAAACGAATGGTGTGATCCCCATGTGCAGGCGCATGTGGCGGTCCAGGCTGCCCTTCTGGTTGAAAGATTTGGCGCAGTAGATGCAGGTGAGCCGTGGGTTGTACCGGAACCACCGCTCCGACACTTCTTGCTCTCGGAGATACTCCACATAGCCACTTACCCCCATCATTGCTGACTCTTCTGCCTGGGCAGGAGAGGAAGACAAGCAAGAATAAACAAGTCTTATTAATTATACACATTAAAGTAATCCAATGTATTTCTGCCTATTACCAAGACACATGCGTGTGTGTGTGTGTGTGTGTGTGTGTGTGTGTGTGTTGCTCAGAACTGAATCCAGGGCCCCAGCATACTAGGTAAGCACTCTACCACTGAGCTCTCTCCAGCCCCTATATCCTTATTTTTAATAGAGAACTGAGCAAGCAATTACTACCAAAAAGTAGTAATTGGGAGGCTGGGGCAGGACGACTGCTGTGAGTTCGAGGCCAGCCTGGGATACAAAGTGAGCCCAAGGCCAGCCCGAACTACATAGTGAGACCCTGTCTCAAAAAATATAAAAAACAAAAAACAAAAAACGAAAACTCAACAACATAATAATTTACAAAAAAACTGAGGGTACTCTATTTCACTACCATAAAAGCAACATGATAAGGTTATTTTCTGGCTGACAAAGTGGATGCTTACTGAACCTTTGCTTACAACAAGAAGGAAATCTGGGCCCACTTATATCACGTTTTGGATTCTAGTCTTGCAACTATATTCCAGATAATCAGGTACTTAGTGCTGGTCCAAAAGAACTTCCTGTGATATAAATGTTTTATAATCTGCACCATCCAATATAGGAACCACTGGCCACATGTGGCTTTGGAACATTTAGAATATAGCTGGTGCAAATAAGGAAGTGAATTTCTTAATTGTTTTTCGTGAATTAAAATACAAATTCAAATAGCCACATATGACTATATCAAGCCAGTAAAGAATATATATTGGCAAACACTTTAAATTATATCTACGGCCCTATCATTACTAATGTATTTTCACCAGCAGCAGCTAACTTTATAGAAATATATGTAATCTGTAGGTGAGAGTATCCCTTTTTATGTAAACTATTTTGGTATCATGCAAACACAGTATCTTCAGTCTAAAGACTACTCAAAGTTCACCTGACCTTGGAGTAACTGGCTGGAGATGTGGGCTTCTCCTATCTGAAGGGTGAGAGGGAGTGGGAATATGTTCCTTTCAATAACTAATTTAAAAGTTTTACACTTATAAACAGTTCTGCTTCAAAATTCTGTAACAAAATATCAACATTCAGAAATTACTGTCTTTTAAGCTTACTGATTTCTAAAGTCATTATATTAAAATAAGTTTTTAAAGTATGTAGGTGGGAATTATGTAAGTCTAGTGGAAGCTAAACTACCAATGCAAAAGGTGTCAAAGTTGACTTCGGATTAAGAATTCACCTAATTAGCAATTAATCTTACACTGTTTTAATTTCTAAAAATGTGTCCTCTCTCCTTTCTTACATGTTAGCTGACATGCTCTTTTATTTGCTGTTTACTTATTTACCTACTTTTTGTTTTTTTGAGACAGGATCTTGCTATGTAGTTCAGCATGGCCTTGAACTCGAAGTGATCCTCCTGCCTCAAGCCTCCAAAGGCTGGGATTAGAGGCGTGTGCCACCACACCTGGACTTGACAGTGCTCTTTCATAAAGCATTTCTACCGCCAGGTGTGGTGGCGCATGCTTGTAATCCCAGCACTCGGGGAGGCTGAAGCAGGAGGATCACTGCAAGTTCGAGACCAGCCTGTACTGGTCTTGCCAGCGTGAGCTACGTATCGAGGCCCTGTCTCAAAGACAAAAAAAAAAAAAAGCATTTCTAATAGAGACAGTTTGCAAGAGGTTGGGAAGCACTATGTAAATTCAAGAGTTGAAGAGTAGGATTGACACTTGAGATTATTCTGATTTATGTAACATTTCTTTCTGCTTCATGTTTTTAGATAATCAAAGCAGAACTCACATAAAGAATGAGGATTATCCCATTATAAAGTCTTGATGAGCCGGGCGTGATGGTACACGCTTGTAATCCCAGCACTCCAGAGGCTGACGCAGAAGGATTGTTTGTTGTGAGTTTGAGACCAGCCTGGGCTACAAAGTGAGCTCAAAGCCAGCCTGAGTTGCACAGTGAGACCCTGTCTCAAAAAGAAAAAAAAACCCCAAAAAACAAAAACCTCTCTCTTATTCAGTGTCAGAACCCAGAATTTTGTGCACAGTAAGTAAGTGATCTACCACTGAGCTATATCTCCAGCCTTCTTTTTAAATTTTTATTTTGAGACAGGATTTTGCTAAGTTGCCCAAGCTGGTCTGGAACTTTGGGGCCTCCTGCCTCAGCCCTGTGCAGCTGTGATTACAGGTTACATGCCAACATGCTCAGCTGAGTTCCACAATTTTTTTCCCTTAATTCTCAAAACCTATTGACACCAAAAGTGTATCTCTGGCATGCTCACAAACAAGACTAGAAAAAAACAGTTCTGTAGGATTTATTTACTATCTACAGTGCTGTGGGTTGAAGCTGGGCCTCTACACTAAGCTGTATCTCCAGCTCTTTTTCTTTTTTATTTTGAGACAGGATCTCAGAGTCACTAAACTGCCCAGGCTAGGCTCCAAATTTCCATCCTCCTGTCTCAGCCTCCCAGAGTGCTGAGATCAAAGGACTGTACCACCATGGATGGCTAAATATAGTATTTCTTTAATACATAGTTACCTCTCCTTCATCTTTCTTTTCTTACTCATTATTTTCTCCCATACGCACTGGCAATTCCTCAACCAAGGTAGCAACCCTGTGAACCACAACTACATACCTGTGAGCTGGGTTGCTTGGGCTCATCCATTCTCCCAGGAGACTCACTTCTTGCTCTGTGTCTCTCTGTCAGGGGAACCACACTGCCAGAGGGACTAAATCTGTTGGAAGAGGAGCATAAAGGGGACTAACAGAAAAGTAGTGTCAAAGAACTTAAAAAAATGATGATACCTGGGCATGGTGGCACACGCCTCCCAGTAGGAGGGAGGCTGAGGCAGGAGGATCACTGTGAGTTCATGGTCAGCCTGAGCTAAATAGTGAGACCCTGTCTCAAAGAACTGATATAAAACCAAATAAAATAAAATAAAACAACAACAAAAAAATAATAAGCAGAAAAGATGGTGCTTCCCCTCTTTATAATATGTCCGAGGAAAGAATCCCAAGCAGCATGTAACTGAGAAATACTTCCTTTTATGGACTCAATATAGGAACTGGTTGGAAATAAGGTAAGAAAGGTCTGTCTTAGTATGTTTAAAAAATACAAAATGGGGCCAGGGATATAGCTCAGAGCCACAGTACCTGCCTGGCAAGCGTGAGGTCGTGAGTTCGATTCCCAGTACCAAAAAAAAAAAAAACAACCCAACCCAAAAAACAAAATGGCAAAGGACATAGATCATATGAACTGGTAAAACTAAAGCCAACTATAAATTGACTGCTCTTACATAAGTACTGGGAGAGAAGTAAAAAAATAAATAAAAATTGGGTCTGCAATTTTATTTCCTTCTATTTTACTATTGGTTTTTTGTTTCCTTTCACCAGAGTCCATGATAACCTGTTACATATTTCAGACTGCTGATATTGATTATGGAGATGAAAAAATTTTTGCATTTAAACTGATCCTACTTTTTTTTTTGTCTTTCTTGAGACAAGGTCTCACTATGCAGTTCAGGCTGGCCTTGAGATCACTTTGTAGTCCAGGCTGGTCTTGAACTTCAAGGATCCTCTTGCCTCAGCCTCCTGAGGGCTGGCATTACAGGCATGTGCCACCATGCCCAGCACTACTTCTTTTTTTTTTTTTTTTCTTTTGGTTTTTCTTCGGTACTGGGAACCGAACTCATGACCTTACGCTTGCCAGGCAGGCGCTTTTGCCGCTGAGCTAAATCCCCAGCCCCTTCCAGCACTACTTCTGATACAGTTCTAACACAGGATAAAAACTGCTAACACTGGGGGGTCAGTAAACTGTGCTGAAGAGTATTTTTTTTCCTTCTTTTTGAGATAGGGTCTCACTATATAGTTCAGGTTTGCTGTTTTTGTTTTTGTTTTATTTTTTGGTACTGGGAATTGAACTCAGGACCTTGCACTTGCCAGGCAGGCACTTGTGCCACTGAGCTACATCCCCAGCCCAGGTTTGCTCTTTTTGTGTGTGTGTGCGCGTGCGTGCGTGCGTGCTAGGAACTGAACTCAGGACCTTGCACTTGCCAGGCAGGTGCTTGTGTCACTAAGCTATATCCCCGGCCACTCGCTATATAGTTCACACCAGCCTTAAACTCACTATGTAGCCCAGGCTGGCCTCGAACTTGTGATCCTTCTGACTCAGGCTGAGTGCTGGGACTACAGGCATGCACCACCATGCCCAGCTAAGAATATTTTCATTAAGTGCACACAAAGGAAAATACTCAAGTCAGGATTTCCTCAAGTGGACACAGTAGACAGTACAATCTGAACGCCTGCAATACTTGTGTCTCTCAACATCAGTTAGAAACCAAAGAAATAGCTTCTTTAACTGTTATTGCTCATTTAGTCCATTTTAATTTATTCATAAGAGGGGAAAAGAACAAAAATTACCAATGCAAATTGGTCATTTTTTCTTTCAGTTGACTTAGATCAAAATCAGTGCTGTTTCTACCAAAAAGAAACAGCGGCAAGCCTTGCAGAGCTTTCAATGATAATAAACAGCCAGCTGCAGCATGCGTGCAGTAGATTCGCCACCGCTGTTCTAACACAGGCGATGTATTAAGAGAAAAGTGGCACAGCAGCACTGGTTGGAAAGAAAAGGACATCTCCAAAAATAGGGACTACATCACCAAATGACAAGTGATAGAAGGCATGAAAGATATCCCAAAACTTGCCTTTGGAATTACTGGACTGTGTTGACACTAATTTAAAAAGAACAGTCACTGATGCTACTATAGTTTCTCTAATTTGGTAGATGAGGGCAAAGAAAAGTAAATAACACCCCAGACCAAGTGAACTCCCCAGGCCACCTACCTGTGCAATAACCGACCAAGGAAGGGCAATGCTGCCAGGCTCCTGGCTGAGGTCAGCTCCCTGCCTGGAATCCCGCGGGAGCCCTGGCAGTGACCGATCTAGTGTGGCTGCAGGTGCTATTCTGATTCATGGAAGTGTCTAACTTTATCACAGTTCTCTCAACACTGTGAATACTTCAGGGCTAGGAGCTTCACGCTTTAAAAAAATAAGAATGCAAGTGTTTTGTCATACCTCCAGTTTCCCCAAAATCAACTCACTGTAGTTAAGACTGAAGAAGCGCTAAAAAACAAGAGGGCCCGCTTAACGGTATGTGCACATTAGCCATTAGATGGGAAAAGAAAACCAACCTTACCTGTCGACTTCACTGCTTGTTGGCCGAGCCACCTTGGCTCCTGAAGACGCTAAAGTGTAACTCTCCTGTCCTACAGCACCATGGCCTGTGGTGTCAATGACCATGGCTGTGACTTCCTCTGCACTACTCCCATCTTCTCCAGAAGGCTGATTCTCAGGCCCGAGCCACTCCTCCAGGTTTTCCGTTTTGATGTGCACTGCTCCCAGGACCCTGACTTCATCATCACTGCGGCCCCCCCTATCCGCTACTCCTGTCTCCACATACCACTGTCCTGCTCGGTTGATCCGGAGAATGGGCTCCCGGCTCTCTACATCGGAACTCTGTTCAATGATCTGAGGGCTGGTGGATTCCTCAGGGGGACTTAGCTCTCTGATATCCAGCACAGCACTGACCTGTCCTCGCCGGGTTCCCTTTGGGGTATTATGTCGTGGGCTAAGGGAGCGGCTTAGATTTGGTGTGACCCTGTGAGACTCTGGAGGTCTCTCCTGATGCTTGGTCCTTGTTTGACTTAATTCTGCTTCAACCTCAGCCACATTAATTTTGAAATGAATGCCCTCCAGGATCTGTGTGCATTTGTCTATAATATGCTGCATCTGCAGAAAACTGGCAGCTGTTAGGTAGCTGATGATATCTGCCAGTTGCAGGCATATCCGCCCTGTGTAACAGAAAGAAAGGAGCTGTTCAAACACAGTAGGGTTCTTGATGACTGAAATGGAGACAGTACTCATTTCATTCAAGGACATGTGATCCCGGAAATAGGGGGAGCTGGCAGCCAGTACCACTTTGTGAGCCCGGAAAGCTTGTCCTTGCACATTGACCACAATATCACAGAGACGGCCCTGCATGCGCAGCTGGTTTAGATGGCTCAGGACAGAGTTGCTGAAGTCAGGAATCTCCAATTGTATGTTCCCTCCTTTCTCCATGGTCATGCCTGAAGGAGCAGGCACACATTCAACCCTGCTGAAAGAAGAAACCATATTCTCATCAGGAATTACAATTTTACTCCCCTGATGCTATCTAGTTCAAACATACTTTCCTAAAAACTTAGGCTGTGACTTTACTTTCATTACTAATACAGTACGTAACATCAAAATAAAAGTTCAAGCTGGGCGTGATGGTGCACACCTGTGATTCCAGCACTCAGGAGGCCAAGGCAGGAGGATCACAGCGAGTCAGAGGCCAGCTTGGGCTACACAGTGAGTTCAAGGGCAGCCTAAACTACAAAGCAACACCTTGTCTCAAAAAGTAAAAAGTTTAAGAGGAAGAGGTTATTTGGTCACCGATTATACAATCCAACGGCAACGTTACCAACTTTTCTCTAAGAAGAAAGAAATAAGCTTTATGAAGAAATTTAATTATACCCAGATGGGTTGATTAGATACCTAACATTTGACTACGTGCTGGCTGAGTTATATTTATTACTTTATAAACTAATATCCCACAAGAATGAAGGGCAGTATTTCTTAGCCTTAGGAGTCAGGGCTCCCACAAAAGCCTTTGGATGGGAGACTCTGAGGGGAACTCTAGGAAGAATTCCACAGCCTTGTCAGGACTCAAACTGCAGAACACCTGAAGTTCAGTTCTCAGAGTCAGGAAAGGCTATGTAAATCTGCCTCTATCCAAATTGGAAGTTGGGAATTTCAGGGTCGTGGGGATCAACCTCGGCTTTGCACATGCATTTCAGAAATTTAGTTCCCTAGACCTGGTCTTTTAAAAATAGAGCATTTGTAAGTATGGCCAAACTTTTATACTGAAAGATTGCAACTGCATCCAATAGAGTTCAGTAGCTGAAAGTACACTTTGTGTAAATCCCAACAGGACAATAATTTAAGCCCAACGTGCATCCACTTATTCTATAAATCTGTAAGACATTACGTAGTTGCGTAAAACCTGAAACTTCAGAACAGCGGCACAAGCGCCTGCCTGGCAAGCACAAGGTCCCGAGTTCGATTCCTGGTACCAAATAAACAAACAAAAACCTATCCTGACAAGCCCACAGAATTGCCCGGATCTACAAACACTTATCAATAAACAGGGAAGTGTATACACTGTTTTCAAGAACCGACTTTAGCCAATCTGACCTTTTTCCAAAGCGTTATTGTTTGTTTTGAAACTTTTAATCCAATAAGAGCCTCTGTCGATGCCATCATGAATGCAGATGTGTTTATTTTGGAGCCTACACCAGCGCCTTTTTTGTTTGCTCTTTCCGGCAATTCCCCAGTGAGGAGGAAGCCCTTGGAGTAAAGTCTCTGTCTACCGTCGGCACTGGCGGGTGAGAGCTGTAAGAGGGAGAACCGGGAACGGCATGGGGTCGGCCACTCTGGAACCCGAGCAGCTTCGGTCTGCGTGAGGAAGCGTGGGGACAGGGAACGGGCCGAGGAGCGGACTGTCACCGAGGGACGCGACCCCAGGGGCGCCGAAAGCCGGCCGCGGAGCGAGCGCAAAGGTGAGCGCGGAGGGCTGGAAGGGGGCGGCGCCCTGGGAGCGGCTCCGGGCGCGGGCGCAGCGGGCGGGAGCCGCCCGAGGTGGGTGTGTGCGTCTGGGTGTGTCCGCCGCGGGGAGGGGGCGCCCCGCCCGGGGTCGCGAGGGAGGGGCCGCGAGGGGGCGGGTCCCGCGGCGCAGCCCGGCCCGGGGCCAAAGGGGCGGAAGGTCGCTGAGTGCCTAGAGGGGAGCCGGAGGGCAGCGGCTGCGCCCCGGGGGCGGGCTTCAGCCAAGACAGGGCGAGGCGGCCGCGGTGCAGGGCCGCGGAACCGTGGTGCGGGGCCCGAGCCCGGTCAAAGAGCAGCACCTACCTCCGGGGGTGGAAATGGGCCGGAATGGGCCGGAACACCGTCCCGGAAGTGAAACCCCCCGCCCCCACCCCCGGAGCGGGCGACGTGCCGGAAGGAAATCACTCACCCTTACACCGCCCCTCCCCTCCCCCACCTCTTTCCGTCCTCGCGCCCCCTCCCCTCGGCTCTTCCTACTCCCGCCGGAGGAGCGCGGGAACCCTGCGTCACTCGGACACTCCTGTCCCCGCCCACTAGGGCGAGAGGGGCGGGGGCTGGGGGCGGGAGCGGGCGGGGCTTGAGGCGGAGCTTGAGGAAAGAGTGGTAGGAGCTAGAGGGGACGCAGGAGAGCGCGTGCGCCGTGACGTCACGACGTGTCTTTATATAAGGGAGTCGCAGGCGCCATCTCGCTCTTTCAGCGGTATGAGTTGGCTTATGGTAGGTGGTGCAAGTCTTTATGTAACGTAACGGGTTTTTTTGTTTTTGTTTTTGTTTTTTTTTTTGAGGTGATCTCCAAGGCCTTAATATATGTAAAGCGAGCTCTCTGGCGCTGAGCCACACCTTTAGTTGGTCTTTGGGGACCGTAAGTCGTTTTTATTTTGGGCCCTGATCTTCCCGTTGAGGTCACCCGGCGCTGGCTGGCGTTTCCAGGCCAGTCGCTTTCGCAGGGCTCGTGACGGTGGGGAGCTTGCGCGCTGGCACCGCCGCGAGCTGCGTTACAAAGCGGGTAGTGGCGGCTCGACTTCGGAGGACTTAGGCTCGCGTGCCCTGCTAGTGATGAAGCTTGAGTTGGTAGGGACATCTGAGTGCTGATGAACGCCAACGGCTCTGATGGCGGCGCGTGCCGAGTCCCCCGAGTAGGCCATCGTTGCAAAGCGAGGCCCGCGCCCCTAGGTGCTAGAGCTCTGGAATGGTCAGTGGGTGGAGCCCACGTGTTTCAGAGGTAACTGCGTTCCGCAGTGCTGCACTTGCTTCCGGTCCTGGTTCTTAACTGAGTGAAATATTTTTTGTGTGTGTGATACCAGGTGCAGCTTAGTTTTTCTTAGGCTAAAAATTGCGTGTCTGCCAAGCGCTCGCGCGCTGAGCTGCACCCTCGCCCTTCGACTGATGAAATCGTGGGTCGTATGACGTAGCTGCGTGAGTGATAGAAGAAATAAATGGTGTAAGACTGAGTTGAGCACATACTGTAAGTACTTTTGTTTTTTTTTAATTAGGAATGCTGCTGTATACAGGTGGGATGTGGCGTTCGACGTTTTATGACCAGGTAAGAATCTGGGGAAGGAGGAAGGTAAAATGTGCATAGAGAAAGTTTTTATAATAAGCCTGTGATGGTTTAATAAGAGTAGTGGACAGAAGGGATTTCTGAAACGTTTCATACTGAGGCTTTGAGACGTATCAGGTGGTATTTAATTTTTGATCCGAAGATATTCTTATTGTGAACATTTTTGTTTTGTAGTTATGTGCCAAAAGAAGGATGAAGACGCAGGTAAGTTAATGAAATTTTCTCAGAAGAGTAAAGTTAACAATATAAGTGCTACAATGATGACATTTTATTTGCTACTCTTGACTGTAAGGATGACGATAATCTTAACCACCATTATTCTAACTGAGGCACAGAGAACACTGATGTGGGGAACATAGAGATTGCATCTGAGTTCATTAAGCTGTTTCTTTCTAGGTCCTAACAGTCAGCCTCCAGCCATGGCCATACAGGTGAGAGACTGTCATTCATACAGTGCTGTACTTACCTGAGCGTTTTTTCTTTTTTTTTGAGACAGGGTCTCGCGATGCAGTTCAGGCTGACCTTGCCCTCACTTTGTAGTCCGGGCTGGTCTTGAACTCGCAAGGATCCTCTTGTCTCTCAGCCTCCCAAGTGCTGGGATTACAGGCGTGTGCCCCCACACTCGGCAAGTTTTTCTTTCGCCTGTGCAGGCTAAAGTTAATACTGGTGGGAAGGAGAAATAAACAGATACTATGATGGTTGCATAGTTCAGCAGATAAGTCATGAAGAGATTTACCACTTGTCTGATGTATCTGGGATTGGTGATTGTGTACCTACTTGTAGCATTAAAAGTTTAATTAAAAATTTAACGTGTATTAAAATTCTTTTGTAGGCACCAGAAAGCCAGACGTTTAAATGGTGAGTGAAATTGTCCAATTGAGCATAGGTAACAGGGCAAACTACTTAAGATACAAAAGAGTGGCATTTTAGAATAATGCAGTTATCTGCAGTAAGCAGTCCTACTGTGGCAGCTGAATGCATTGCCAGATTCTTGGCCAGTTACTATTCATCAGTAGGACAGTTGTTGTAAGTGGAGCCTGGATGATGATAAGCAAATACTGACTGAAATATGAAGGTCTTAATTAGCTCTAACTGATCTCGGGCGTTGTTAGCTTTGTAAGGAAAAAGTTCATCTTTGGCTATTCTAAGCCATCCTTTCTTTGTAGGTGGAGTCTGACTTGGCTGGACAAGCTTTATTTACTTGAGTAAGTGTTGGGCAACATTAGATTGAAACTGAGAATGCTTGTAAGTGGCATGCGTGTACTGGTTGGCTTAATAGCTCCTGTTAGATAATGGGTGTTAACTTTGCATTTTCTTTGAGCATGCTCTGTATGGGGTTTTTGTAATGATGTTGATCAAATGTCTGACCTGAAGTGAGCATGTAGACGAATTTAACACTGAATAACCCTATGGTAAGAATTGAGGAAAGATATAATGGCTTTTAGCATTTTAATGAAAGTTGTCCTGTTTTTATTCTAGGTAATGAGTACACATATGGATGACTTGATTTGGTAAGGAAATACATGAAGGTGGTTCTAGTCTCTCCTGGTGTACAGTGCTTATTTATAGTTCTAAAACAAGCTAATGTTAATCTTTAGTACGTGTGATTGCAGTTAATATTCATTATGGGAAGCTATTAAATGTATTTTTAAAATAATGGTAACATTTCAAAAGATTGTAGCAGAGTAACAATTGTTACTACATTGGGTATTGTTGCATGACTTTGTGTGAGGTCTTTTTTTGTACCAGGAATCAAACTCAGGACCTCACGCTTGCCAGGCATTCGCTGTGCTACTGAGCTACCCCGGCACATTGTGTATTTTTATCTTCAGAGTAGTTGCTCATATTGTAAGATACAGGCGTGAAAGATTGATCAAACAATACAGGCATAAGCCTTTCTTTTCAATGAACCTAATAGCCGCCATTACAGCTCTTTAACTCTCCTTTCCCCCATTCCTATTTCTCCTTTTGAGCAATGAGTAATCCACTGTCATTGTGTTGTTTTTTTTTGGGGGGGGTGTTCTTTTTGAGACAGTGTCTCTATGCAGTTCAGGCTGGCCTTAGCTCACTTTGTAGCCCATGCTGGTCTCGAATTTGCAAGGATTCTCCTGCTGCAGCCTCCCCAGTGCTGGGATTACAGGTGCCATGCCCAGCCATATTTTTTTTAAGTCTTCAAACTTCGTGCTCAACTGTAATGGGTGTCTAAAATTTGTTTTTCAGGTCCAGATTATGAAGACGTTATAAAGGTATACATGTTTTGTTAAAATTTTAAGTATTTAATAAGGTAACTCAAGGTGCTGTTACTGATGATGAAGTTTAAACAGATGGGAATCTCTCTGAAAGAGAATGAAGCTTCATTTTAAACTGAAACAGTAATTGGGAGATCTTTTAGGGAAATTACCTATGAACACCCTCCTTAATTAGACTAAAATTTTGCAGGAATGTGAAGTCCCCTTGGCTATGATGCACAGTGCAAGAAGTTTTCAGAAAGGTGAGCAATCCCAAATCTTTGGTGTTGGAGATTGAAACTAGGCAGGGTATGCTGCTAGGTGAGTGCTCTACCACAGTTACCTTCAGCCTTCAAGACTGACTTCAGTCACCTAAAAGCTGATACAATGATGATAACATAGTTCAGCAGATGAACGCTGATGAACAATCACAAGTCTTTCGCTCCTATCTGATGTATCTGGCTGCAAAAATAACTTACTACCTGTGAATTTAACTTTATTGTCTGATAGAAAGCGTTGAGGGAGTTTGTCTTACAAATGTCTGTTTTTGTGTTTTCTACAGAATTAAGAATTGAAGATTAAGAATCCGGGCATAGTGGCTCATGCTTATACTCCCATCGACTAGACAGGTTGAGACAAGATGATGAATTGAGCCCAAGTTCAAGATCAGCCTGGACAGTGCAGGAAGACTGAACTTCACCTCTTGAAGGAACTCACAACTGGGGAAGTGGAGGTTAGTTTATATTGTGGTGCATATACAGCTTACCTGGGATATACCACGTTAGTTCTGCTTACATGGTTAGAAGGACTAAAGAGGGAAATTGAGTAGGACCAATTTTTGAGGGGTATGAGGTTGATCACAGGGCCTCATGCAAGCGAAAGTCACATGCTTTACCACTGAGCTATGCCTCCCACCCAATGGGCCACACATTTTAAGTAGATTTTTCCTTTTTCTGAACAGGTAACCCTTGTTACCCTGAAGTCTAAGGTAAGCTAGCTTGCTGTGTATCTTGATTGCCTTTGCTGTGTATGTGTAATAACTCGGAGGGTAACCGATGATGTGATGATTCTGCCAAATGAAGTAAAGTGATATCACCTAAAAAGCCGTTCCATTTTGATTCTGAGGTTACAGTACTAATAAGCATCATAGAATTCTTTTTTTCCGTGATTTAATACATAATTTAATTTTTTTCAGGACTTTGTGCCATCATTGGGCGTATAGCTTAGCCTTTGAAAGGTGAGGATTGAGAATATCCATACTGCTGCTATTCCAGAATACATGATGATCTCACCTCAGCTTGAACTCTCTCACTGATTACTTGATGAGGAGAAAGATCTGATATTCTGTAGTCCCCAACTGTATGAGTGAAATCTGGAAATAGGGCTAAAACCGGTGTCTTTATTATTGCAGGCAATCAGATGGATATTCGTGGGAGACAAGATTAAACATGTTGATTTTAATAAATTTGTGCAAACTATCTGGAGAGGTGTATTTTTTTGGTGTTAAGGATTGACCCTAGGGAGATGGGACTGTGTATTTAAAATACTTAAAGTGGTAGGATTTTCTTTTTAATACCTGTCAGTCATTCTAACCATTAAGTATGCACATGTGTGAATTACAGACTCCATAGTACTGCTTCATCTCAGAAGAGCCATTTTAGGCTGGGCATGGTGGCACATGTCTGTAATAGGGGTTGAGCACTCAGAAGACTGAGGCAGGAGGATCTCTGCTTTTTTGAGACAAGCCTGGGCTACAAAATGAGCTCAGGGCCAGCCTGAATCGCATATTGAGACCCTGTCTCAACACCTCCCTCCCCAAAGCCATTTTAATGGCAACAAAAACTTGGAACAGGCAGAGGTTTGGGCTATTTCTTCTATGTATGAACTAACTGAAAAAGGCAAATTTGGTTATCTAGTTAGACAGTAACAGTGAGATAGGTACGGTCCATTGTGAAGTGCCAAGTGACAGACTTGGCAAGCAAATGGGTGCTAAAATTCGGTGTTCAGAACTGGTGGTCGGTCAAGGTGGTCTTTCCCAACAGGGTATGTTTATGGGGATCAGTTTGCTAATGTGCTTGCTGTAGCACTTGAGCCTATCCTTGAGGCTTTACGTTTTTATTGTAACTTTGAGTTTCTACAATTAAGCATTTACAGCTAGTATGACAGTTACAGTAAAAGTTTTGGTGCATGCCTGGAAACAGTTCAGCAAGATTCCCACCCTTTGGCTTAGACAGAGGCCATGGGTTTAATTCCCAGTGAATGAACCTAGCTCTTAAAATGATTCTAGTCACAGTCATGGGGTTGAGAAATGTAAGGTTAACCTTGAACCTAGATATTGAATTTGATATCAGACACTCAGTTTGTGGCGATAATTGCAGGAAGATAAGTTGAGGTATCATGGTTAATGGAGGTCTTCAGTGACTCATTCCTTCTGTCTGGAGCCTCCTAAATACGGGGATTATAGCTGTTGTGCCACCACATGGATCAGTGACTTGCTGGCCATGAACTCACTAACCAGTATGTGCTGGTGATCTGCTTGCCTCCCAAGTAGTGAGGTTATAGGACTGCCACCATGTTTGTTTTCAATGACATTGTAAGTGAACCTGAAAAAGTTCGAGAACTATTTTAGATGAAATGGTAACCTAGAGGTCAAGTAACTGGGCCAAGGTTATGTGTAAAGGGAGTGGTAAAGTCGGGAATTAATACCCAGAAGTGTCCCCCACTCACAAAATTTTAAAATAGTTTTAGACAGCTGATTTAGATTTACCGATACATACTTTTGGGGAGTGCTTTTTGGGACAAGGCCTCACTAGTTCAGGCTGGCCTTAAACTATGTGGCACAGGGTTGCAATGATCTTGTCCCAGCCTCCTGAGTGCTAGGATTACAGGCATGTGCCACTACAGCTGGCCCCAGATGGAACTGTTATGTTTTAACTGTGTACTTGGTTAACTAAGAAAAAAGTACCCATAAGGCAACATCCTTAAAATTGTGCTTAAAATCAGTATCATTGTTACACATTACAGTTTATTTCTTCACGGAAAGAAATAACTTGAAAAAAAAAAGAAAAAAACCAGGTATATACTGTTATTTCTTTGCTTGGGGAGGGGACTGGAAAAAGAACTTGGGACCTCACACTTGCCAGGTAAGGCACCTTGCTGTGGAGCTGTATCTCTGGCTCCAAAATCTTTCTCAATGAAAGCCTAAGAGCAAACACCAGTTGTAACACTGAACATCTGTTCCCAACAAGGAGAAATGTTCACAGGACACAGCTGTCTTTACATTAATGACTATTGCTGTTGTAGCTGGCAGTTGCTTTTCTTCTTTCAGTGCTGGGCATCAAATCCTTGACTAGAGAAGCACTCTCCCACTGAACTGTATCTCCAGCCCCACAGAAGTACTAAATTTTAAATTTTAGCCCACTGCAAGGAAAACTTTATAATCTTCAGGATCTTAGAATAAGTGTTATTTTTCTTGACAGTTCTTGAAAAAAAGTACAGAGTAACGCTAATGTGACATGAAGACAGGGTTGTTTGACTCTAGGGGACCTAGGACCTTTGATATTTATAGCCTAGGAAGTTTCTGGATTATGGGTGTTACTTGTAGTTCAGTTCTGAGATAGAATGACAATTGAGCCGGGGCTATAGCTCAATGGCACAAGTGCCTGCTTGCCGATACCAAAAGGAAGAATGACACTTTAGCCAGAATTAGCATTTATTAGAAATTAGGTAATGGATATAAAATTGTATTTCCCTACCCAATAAAGGATATCTAGAAATTCTGTACTGAGAAAGGGCAGGCAGAACTGGACATCCCTGCCAGCAAGGTGGTTCTGGTTTGAATACTCAAATGAGGGAAAGTTTAGGCAAAAAAACTCAGGGAAAACTACCTAACCGCAACCAGACCTCTGTGGCAGGGAAGGACGTTGATATGTATACAGCCTCTAAGTATCACAAGTTACAGTTGTAGTGGAGATGGTTTTCAAACAAATAGTATCCTATTGCTTAGCACATTGAGAAAATAGGGGTATAAAACATTTAACGTTTACAAATCGAAGGCAACTTGAAAAGGGAAGATAATTTAAAAATCATCAAGGCCTTATTGCCATTTTGTGATACAGCTTTTATTTGTATCAGAATTTACAAGAAAATCACAAGCTTCAGTTCATTTTATGCATTTGAAGTTGGTCAGTTAGTATTTCCAGTTACTGAGTCAGGCATGATGACACTTGCCTGTAATCCCAGCACTCGGGATCCTGAGGCAGGTGGATCACTTCAAGTTCAGGGTCAACCTGGGCTAATTATTAGTAAGTTCAAGGTCAGCTTGAATGGCACAGTTGGACCCCACCTCAAAGAAGTATTTTCAATTATAATTGAGAAAATATCCGGGATGGATGATTACCCTCACAAATAAAAATATACTCAGAATACTAATTCAAGTAACGGTTTTGTTTCAATTTGTTTTGTACTGGGGTTTGAGCCCGGGGTCATGTGCGTGCTAGCTAGTCAAGCACTGTGCCACTAAGCTACAACTCAGCCTCTTCTGTATTCTTTAACCCCACTGACTTCTCCATCAAGCTCAATATACCACTTTACAAATAAAAGCCATCGAGTGCTATTGATGTATAATATCATGAATAACTATGCCAGTCTTCCCCAAAATACCTATAGATTCCTCATTTACTTATGTCCAATCTTTTTTTTTTTTTTTGAGACAGGGTCTCGCTATGCAGTTCAGGCTGGCCTTGAGCTCACTTTGTAGCCCAGGCTGGTTTCAAACTCACAACGATCCTCCTGCCTCAGCTGCCTGAGTGCTGGGATTACAGGCGTGCGCCACCATGCCCAGCTTTTATTTATTTATTTATTTATTTATTTATTTTTTGCGATGGGATCTCATTAAGTTGTCCAGGCTGGGCTTGAACTTGCAATCCTCCTTGTTTAGCCTCTTAGGTAGTTATGGTTACAGGCTTGTTTCCTCTTCAACTATATAATATAGACATCCTTGAATCTGTTTATGGTTAACATTGAATTTGTGTTCTCTGCAACTAGAAAATATATAGATATCTTTTATCTGTTTACATATGGATAATGTTGAATTTGTGTAACGCTTTGTGTGTGTGTGTGTGTATGTATGTATGTACGTGTGTGCTGCTGGGGATGGAACCCACGGCCTTTCATGGCAGGCAAGTGATCTACCACTGAGCTAACATCTCCAACCGCGATTCAGTTTTTCAAAGTATTTTCATTTACGTTATTTTCGCTAAGTATCTCCTCTGATTCTGGCAAGAGCCCTAACAGGTAGCCACAGAAAGTACTGTTTACATTTTATATAAGTAGGAAGGGAGGCTCACTGAGGTTCATGTGATTTTCTTAAAGTGAAACACTGCATAAGATTTTTGTGACTTACTTCAGCACTGTTTCCTGCATTGTTATTACTACATTGTGTTCATAGTTGAACTGTCACCATAAAGCTTAATTTATCAGTCTCTCGAGGCTGGATGAACCACAACATTCCCTCCATCAGCTCTCTACGGAAGCAAGCGTTTTCCTTCATGATTTGATTTTCTGTCTTATGTGAATAATCTGGGTATGGAATACATGATTAGAAAACATTAAGCCACTACATTAGTCTAGTAAAGAGCTATCTTTTACAATCTCCAAGTAAAAAGGAACTTCAAAAAACTCAACCAATAATTAATAAAAGCCCTCAAATCAAAACCAGGTATCTTCTTTTTTTTAACTGTGAAAAATATTGCCTGGATTACTTCCATCTAAAGACTTGATTGTCAGATTGATGGCAGATCTGAACCTGATTCTAGCACTGGCAAAGCAAAGAGGACAAAACTCAAGCTCAACTTTCTGGATGGTGTGAATGATTCAAAGAATTTTCTGCTTCTGAGTCTGTTGGCCAGGAGACTTGGATATGATAGGGCTTCAGTTCCTCAGCAGGGACAGAATCTGGGGCATTGCTCATAAGATCATGTCCCCGGAAGGATTTGGGGAACGCAATGACATCTCTGATACTTGGAGCTCCAGTGACAAGGCACATCAGTCTGTCCAACCCTGTGAGTAAAACACAAAGGTCACTGATGAGAAATGTATAGTAGTCTCATGTTGAGAATTTCAGTTGTCCATAAAAAAAAACATAGAGACTTTTTTCTTCCCTCATGGCACTAAAGATCAAATATAGGGCCTCCCACTGTTCTAGTGAGCTACACCCCCAGCTCTGCAGAGAACTTACAAATAACAACCTTTTACACATTATAGCCAACCATAGTTTTCTGTCTTTTTAGAGAACTTCTGCCTGTTTTGAAAGATTCTTTTCTATCTCATTCTAGAAAAGTGCTCAAGACTTAAGTTTTTTTTTTTTTGGTACCGGGAATTGATCTCAGGACCTTGTGCTTGCCAGGCAGGCGCTTATGCCACTCAGCTATATCCCCGGCCCTGGTTTTTGTTTTTCTTTTAAGACAGGGTCTTGCTATATAGTTCAGGTTGGCCTTAAACTCACTATGTAGCTCAGGCTAGCCTCAAACTTGTGACCCTTTTGCCTCAGCCTCCCAGTGCGGGGGTCACAGGTGTGCACCATGATACCCTGCTCAGTTAATTTTTTTGGTTTTGTTTTTCTGAGACAGGGTCTCATTTTGTAGCGCTGGCTGGCCTCAAACTTGTGGCAACCACCCCGCTTCTGCCTCCTGAGTGTTGCAATTACACGTATGTGCCACCATACCCAGCTTTCAGTTAATATTTTAATAATGGTAAAATAATTTAAAAATATATTTCTGAGTCCCTGTGTTCAATCCCCAGTACCAGTAAAAATAAATAGTTTACCAAGAAAACTAAAACTTGAATTCTCATAGAACTTAAGGTTCAACTTCCTCATTCCCACTGTAAATAAGCTGGGAGCCCAAATTTGAGACAAGGCTGTGGAATGAAATTTAGTTTTATAGAAAGACAAACTGCTTACCTAAAGCAATTCCTCCATGAGGGGGTGCCCCATGATCTAAAGCCTGGAGCAGATGGGAGAGCAATGTCACATCTTCCTGAAATTCAAAGATACTCTTTAAATATATACCAAAGGGACTTAAGTGCCACATACTAGACATAGGTGCTAAAGGAAAACGAAGTTGAGTTAAAACATATCTTAAAATTACTTGACTAACAGCAATAACTCACTGGGCAAGTGTAAAAATACTGCCTCAAGAGGTTTACAGTTTACCAAGGGAGGAACACAAGGCACAGATGCTCCCAACATGTAGAAAAGGGCCAGGTGCCCAGGAAACGCAGCTCTTACTGTACTGAAAATATGAGCAGAGTAAGACTAGCGCAGGAGGCGGAGGTGTGGGCTCAAAAGGCAGGCTAAGAAATGGGGACTGTCCTGTCTCAGGGACCAAAGGAAAAGAATGATAGTAAAAGACAACAGGGTAGACGCAGCCAGGAGGTAGGACAAGCGGGGGGCCAGGAGCAGGAGCAGTTTCTGTGGGGAGGACATGCAGAAACGTGGAAGGCATCTGGAAACGGTTCTTTCCCCGAGACTGCGGGGCAGCCGTGGGTGAGTGTCCGACAAGACGCCAAAGCCTCACATTTGGAGCTTTTTATTTAGTTGGTCTGATATGGGGCCGAGGCATCTGTTTTCCTTTTTTTGTTTTTGTTTTGTACTGCCTTCCAGGTGAGTCTATTCTGATGTGTCAAGCACCCCTGATGCACAGGGAAGCAGCACAGTAGTGCACTCTTACTCTTCGGAAAATCTGGGCGAAGCAAATACTCAGAAAGGCGGGCGGGAACTGATCTCGGGAGGCTCTGCCCTGTGCGAGAAAGGCTGCAGACATCATGACGCTTTCAAAGCTAAAACAGGGTCTGCTGCTGAGTTCTCCAAACTTGCTCTCGTGTGTCAGGGCATCCATCCTACCCCACCCGTTAGTTAATGCCACAAAATGGTTTCTTAGGACCATAAAAAAACTTTTATAATGAACTGCAAATTCTGAGGTTAACAACTGAATACAACTCTAAAGTCCTGACTACCCCACTCCCTATCACAAAAATATCACCCCACTTGAAGTACATTAAGTGATATTAAAAATCCCTTTATTTATTTATTTATTTTTGTCTTTTTGAGACAGGGTTTTGCTAAGCAGTTCAGGCTGCTCACTCTGTAGCCCAGGCTGGCCCTGAACTTGCAATGATTCTCCTGCCTCAGCCTCCCGAGTGCTGGGATTACAGGAAGATGCTCTGAGTTGGAGACAGGCCTGAACTGCATAGTGAGACTCTGTCTCAAAAAACAAACAAAAAACAAACAAAAATCCATTTAAACCTCTCTCTTTCTCTCACATTATCCATCAGTGCAGATGAGGACCCTTAGCATAAGGGCACCCTTCAATTCCTGGTCTTGCTTCCTTTTTGTGTTGTGTGACTTTGGGCAAGCTACATAATCTGCCTCAGTTTCTCATATTTAAAATGAACAAAATAAGGTTATCTCATAAGGTAGCTATGAAGACTAAATGCATCAATGCACACAGGGTATGTAAGCATCCCTGCTATAGGAAGCACTGACAAGCAGCTATTGACATCACTTACTTTTCCAAGTTCTACACTGAAGGTAGAGATAAGCTGACACTATTTTGTACCTAGCAAATCATTCATAAAAATGTTTAAAAAAATGGACAAGCCAAGGACATAGCTCAATGGCACAAGCACCTGCCTGGCAAGCACAGGTTGTGTGACTGAATTTGATTCCTGGTACAAAAAAAAAAAAAAAAAAAAGACAAGTACTTGGGTAAAACAGTAAGGCTAGATTAGGAGACTATGAATGTTACCTTTAGTAATGTTGACAGGACGTAACGCTGTAGCTCTGCATTGTGGATTCGAATAGAACCACCTCCTATCTCATTGCCATTTAAAACCAAGTCATAGTGTTGGCTACGAACCTAGAAGATTCAGAGTCTTTATGTTAGAGATTTCTGATTTTCTAATCAGAGTATCTTACAGTATCTGCTGTAGGTTGAAGATATTGTAGCTATTTAAGAGATACAATGTTAACAGCTGGCTCACAATGTCTTCTGAGGCTTCCAGAACTGGATCCTACAGAGAGATTGTGAACTCTGAAGTTCTTTGTCTCTATTTGCATATTTCCTTTTGATCTGGAAGTAGAGAGAGGGTACCTTTTCAGGCTCAGTGTAGAGGAGGTGACTGTCACTGGGGTGAGGAGCAGTGAATGGGTGGTGGGCTGATTCCAGTTCTTTGGGGTTGTCCTCCTTGGGAAAGAAGAGTGGGAAATCCACCACCCAAAGGAAGGAGAACTGGGCAGGGTCACGAAGCACCACTCCTCGCCCTTCCAGAAGGTCAGCACATTTCAGCCGTAATTTCCCCAACAAAGAGCACTGCCAATACAAGACATAAACACTGAGTTAGCTTCTTGACAAAGTAGAAAGAAATAACCTGGATTCTGAAGTAGACTACTCTCTAGTAAAGATCTGCTAACTCACAGATGAGATACTCTTTGTCTCTCAGGAGACAAAGATCTGAGGGTGATCTGACTGTAATGGGGGTGAGAGCGACTGAAATGCAGTTGCGAGGTGGGCACCTAGTAACACAGTGATCAAGAACACGGGGATCCCGGCACTTGGGAGGCTGAGGCAGAATCTTGAGTTTGAGGCCAGCTGGTGCTACTCGGAAAAGCCGCACATCCCTGAAGACCTGCACACACTGTCACTTTGGGGCCCATTCTATCTTATACTTAAATATCTATATATGGCACCTTTACTGTGACATTTTTAGAATGTTAATGTTGTTCCAAGTAACTCTGGCTCCTACCTTGCTTTCTTTTAAGGAAGGCCGGGAAGAATTAGAACAGTATTTCCTGAGAAAGGAACGGCAGGATGTTTGGTTCATACCAAGAGACTGTTTAATAACTAGATTAATTTGCAGCATAAAATCTCAACTTCTATTGTAAGAAAGGTGTCAATAATAAAACTTGTAATTAAATATCTTTACTACTGCAAGGGGGAGGGAAGGACAGTAGATTACTTTTAGCTTTGAAGCTGAACTCTGAAACTTCCTTTGGAGGAAACACAGTATACATATATATTAGAAGAATGAATTCGATAAAGTGCTAGTTAGATACCATGACTTTATTTATTTTTAAAAGGTTAATATTATTATTACTTTGGGTTTTTTTTAGGCAGGGTCTTGCTGTGTAGTTCAGGCTGACTTTGAACTCACTACAAAGCCCAGGCTGGCCTCAAATGTGAGACGATCCTCCTGCCATGGCCTCCTGAGCGGTAGGGTTACAGATGTGCGCTACCAGGCCCAGCAATACCATGACTTTAACAGTATGAGTATATCAATGAAAAACTGAATTTATATTCTCCCATACATCTGAAGAATGGTGCCGCAGCCAGTGGGTGGTGGCACTCGCCACCTACAGCTGCTGCTGTCCTGGACAAAGGGTCCTCCCTCAGCCACGTCGGGCCAGCGCCGTCTCTCAGCCCTGCAGCCCTCCAGCTGTCTGAACTGACCCTTCACATCTATAGGATGTCATTATGTACAAAGGTTTGTAACTACCAAATTTGCTCTATCTGCAAAACCTTGAGAATGTAAATATGTTTGATGGTTGTATAAGTCAGACCACTAACCCTTAATGCATTTTAAGTGAACAACGACAAATAGATAGGTATCCATCTAAAAAAATCTTGTCAAATCACATTTGCCAGGTAATAAAAATATCCCTATAGAATTATTCCCTTCATATAACTTTGAAGTCAGACAAAAATATAGTAGCTACTATTAGTAGTAAACATTTAAGGTATCAAATTATGAGGAAAGATAAGAAAGTAAGTAAAGAAAATTCTGGAGGACTGTCCTTTCAAGTGTAGGGAGGAAATCCCAGCACTGAGGAGGCTGAGGCAGGAGGATCATTGAGAGTTCGAGACCAGCCTGGGCTACAAAGTCAGCTCAAGGCCAGCCTGAACTGCATAGTGAGTCCCTGTCTCAAAAAGACAAAAAAAAAAAAAAAAAAAAAGTGTAGGAAGGAATTTTCAATCTGGTAGGCTCATGCAGGGCATGCTAAGATTTTGTTTTCCCTATTTCAATATGCATTAATATTCATTTATTATACTTTTTTTCTTGGTCATACTGGGAATTGAAGGGCCTTTGTAATGAGGTATATCCCTAACCCTTTATATTTTTTCCTGTTTTTTTAGTTTTTTTTTTTTTTTTTAGACAGGGTTTTGTTATGTAGTTCAGGCTGACCTTGAACTCACTGTGTAGTCCAGGCTGGCCTCGAACTCATGGCAATCCTCCTACCTCCGCCTCCTGAGTGCTGAGATTACAGGGATGTGCCAGCACACCCAGCTTATATTTTGTATCTTGGGACAGGGTCTTGCTAAATTGCCCAGGCTGGGCTTGAATTTGTGATCCTCCTGTTTCAGCCTCCCAGAGTGCTGGGATTACAGGTGTATGCCACTGTGCCCAGCTTTTCTCCGTTTTCATACAGTTATAAACCAATAAGATTATTTAAGCCCATGGATTTTCGGTATATGGCCTGAAAATTCTCTACTGTTTCCTACCGATTCCTTAGCTGTGCAGAGAAAGGTTCCCAATAGCTTCACGGGCACCAATCTGCCTCAGTTCATACCACATCAGCATGCTCAGTGTCTGGTCCTTCATCACACAGCACTGTACGAGGCTTGCCTCGCGGCGACCGCATTAACATAGCTCCACAGTACGCACTATGTATCTGACATCTCACTGCACCCCAGGATTACTACTATTAGTATTACTATTTTGGAGTAGGGTTGTACTTTTTTATTCTTGTTAAGTAATCCACTTCTATGTCATAAAACTGGAGCCATCACTATCATAGCTCCTGACCTCAAACGAAAACCTTACACTTATGAGGCCTCCGTCCCTGCCCTTCTATGCCTGTCACATGCCAAAGCCAACTATGTAGGAAGGTTTTTTCAGAGAAGACGATGACTCTGTCCTCCCAGAAGGAAAAAGCTCCATTTGCTTTATGAGGCAGATAGCAACCCCAAAGCACAGACGGGCTGGGGCCTGCGCAGGCCTCAATCAGACTGCAGTTTTCACACAGCACGTTACAAAGTCCTGAAAGATATTTATACAACAACTTACTCAAAGCAATTCCACTTTACAAAATTAGCAGTCCATTTAAAATATGTCCATATGTGTGGGAGCGGCAAGGCAGCATTTGCCCTGCCGCCCCGCCGCGCTATGCATGGCTTATTTTCCTTACTGCTTTCTCGTGCTCGCCAGCAGCCAGCAAGACCACGTCGTCCTCCCGCAGCTCCATGATCCGGGTTAATTCCAGTCTATGCTCCTCCACTATGAACTTGGCAACGGCTGAATTCCAGTTACTGCCGGCTTTCAGGAATACAGGTAAGACTTCCTATGAGAAATAAAAAGAGGGCTGGGGATTTAGCTCAGCGGCACAGCGCCTGCCTGGCAAGCACAAGGTCATGAGTTCGATTCCCGGTACCGGGCAGGGGCGGCGGGGGAGAAAGAAAAAGACTTGTTCACACTTTGTAAAAAGTGAATTTATTTTCCCGTGGTGCACACATTTCTTGTTTCTAGAACAGAATGTACATGAGGTTATTTCTGCTTGCTCGCTGAAGCCCTTCAACATGACATGAAAGGAATTTAAAGAAGTAAGCTCGCCACAGTGAAGAAAAACAGCAGAAGAAAGGGTCGGGAGTACCATCAGTAGATGCGACCTCTGCACGCCAGCAGCCTCGCGCTCATCCCAAACCAGGCCCAGCCATTTACAAAGCCCCCGCATCTTCAACCAGCCTCTTTCTCTCTTCTCTCCCTCCCCTTAATTTTTTTCCCCTTTTCTCTTATTTTTTATTTTTATTTTTATAGTGCTGCATTTCAAATGCAAGGCCTTGCACAAGCTAGGCAGGCATTCGATACTGAACTACATCGCTAGCCCAAAAATGACTTGAATATGCACAGACAACCAACAATTACCACACACTGAACAAAATCTGCAGCAATTAAAAAAAAATCAAAGATGAACATAAAAAAAGAAACCTAAAGAAAAGAGATAGTTAAGGATTAAAAAAAAAAGGACTTGAATCTTTACAAAGGACTCAAAACAGGTAGTTTATCAATAAAACAAGAGTAAGACAATGGGAAGCGCTGCGGGAGCCAGGTGCAGTGGTGTACACCTCTAACCCCAGCTACTCAAGAGGCTGAGGCAGGAGGACCAGAAGTTCAAGCCCAGTTTGGGCAACTTAGTGAGACTGTCTCCAAATAATAAATTTTAAACAAGGGGTGGAGAGGCAGCTCAGTGTCAGTGGGTGAGTGTCGTGGGCTCAATTTCTAGTATTGAGAAAAAACAAACAAACTGGGAAACACAAAGCTGCCAATTTTTACTTTTATCAAGGAATGATATAAAACTTAAAATACTATTACCATCATTTCATAAAAGAAATACTATTTCCACAGGACAAAAAGAGAAAAGAAAGCTTTTTCACTTTTTTTTTTGAGAGGGTCTTGCTGTGTAGTTCAGGTTGGTCCTGAAATCACTGCACAGCCCAGGCTGGCCTTGAACTAGAGGTGATCCTCCTGCCTCAGCCTCTCAAGTGCAGCTCTTTCACTTTATGAAGAGCTTTTCATAGTGCCTTTTCTCTTTTGCCTTGACCCACTTCGGGGACCACTGTCACAGTCTTTCTCTCTTATTGAAAAATCCCTTCATAATTCTCAGAGGTTGAGGTGTAAAGCTTGGAATATGGTGGTGATCAAGGTAAGTAGTGCTTTTTCAATATCAAAGGTAACATTTTTACGTGTATGTAACACTATCCTTTTCTTACAAGTCATTACAACATAAACATTTTTTCCTACAGTAATACTCTTAGGAAACAAAAAATTTCCAAAGGAATTTTAATATTGATTTCTTTGATTATACCATAACATTTAATCTCTCCTATATGGTTTCATTCTATTCCTGTTATAAATGATACTACGATAAGCATAAGTTCTCCTTAAATCTAGGGTCCTTTCCTTAAGCATATCATAGAAAATTACTGACTCAAACAGCACGAGTCTTTTTTTTTTTTTGGTACTGGGAATCAAACTCAGGACCTTGCGCTTGCCAGGCAGGTGCTATGCCACTGAGCTATCTCCCCAGCCCGCACAAGGCTTTTTAAAGTCACTGACCCTGAAATGGCCAGGTAATGTAGTCTTCCAGTGACAGTGTGAGTTTCCCCAGTCTTGCTCTGCCCGTTTTAATCCCAGAAGCTAAGAACGTAACATGTGCCTGTCAAGGGCGTATTCACAATTTGAAAAAGGGCACAGAGAACAACGAATACCAGTCTTTGTTCACACCTGGCATGCTGCTGTTATACCCTGAGCATGTGGGCTCTATTTATCTCCCTAATGGGACTAAATACCCTTATTTACTATAAAGGCTAGTGTTGACCTTCCATATTCTAATAATGAAGCATTCACCTCCTCGGAAGTTTTCGAGTAATACTGCACTGAGGGGCGAGATTAACTTTAATAATAAATAGAAGGAAACAAAAGAGTGATCTCAGATAAGACCTTCAACATTAAGAGCTCAAGCAATTATTAGTTAAAATACAGAATTCCCTAAAGAAAAGAATCTGCATTAACTCCTTACCTGATTAAAATGGTCAGTTGCACATTTTCTAATGGACTCAATATCCTTCCTTTTTAAGTACTTCTGCGGAAGGAAAATCAAAGTAAACTCATTAGTGGGACACTCAGCTTCACCAACACATTCATGGTAACAAATGGGATACAAATACATTTTGTCTTTCTAGCACTATAGTGGGATTTAACAAATATTTAATTTCTACTGTTAACAAATTTTTCAAGCTTGTTGTAGGATTTCATTTCTCTAATTATGCAGGTCTCAATGGAAATAGTTCTGTAATATGCAGAACAAATACTCAAAATGAATCTAACTGAATTGTGAAAGATAAAAACAATTTTCAGAGCTATAAAAGAATTCAGACTTTGGGGGCTGGGGGTTTAGCTCAGCGGCACAGCGCCTGCCTGGCAAGAGCAAGGTCATGAGTTTGATTCCCGGTACTGGAAACCACCCCCCACCCCAAAAAAATTCAGTTTGATTATTTCAGGGCTATCTTTTTTTTTTTTTTTTTTGAGACAGGGTTTTGCTATGTAGTTCAGGTTGGCCTTGAACTTACTTATTCAGATCAGTCTGGCCTCAAACTCATGGCAATCCTCCTGCCTCAGTGTCCCAAGTGCTGGTATTATAGGCATGTGCCACCACACCCAGCTTGTTTTGTTTTTTGACATACAGTCTCACTAAATTGCTAAATCACCCAGGCTGAGCTCAAATTTAAGATCCTCTTGCACCAGCGTCTCAAAAGTGCTGGAGTTGTAGGTATACACCACCATGCCTTCACGTTTCTTAAAATTCTTCTTCTCTTACATTTTCCAATTTATCTCCAAGTCTTTCTAAGTGAGACACTATGGTTAACAATTATACTCATGAAGCATTTAACCAAGTATATGAGGGCTACAAAAGTGAATAAATGCTATGTATCCCTGTAATTCCTTTTTGTTGTTTTTGTTTCTGTTGTACTGGGAATTGCATCCAGAGTCTCTTCTCTGAGTTACACCCCCATCCCTTTTTAGTTTTTGAGATAGGGTCCCTATTGGGCCAGGCCTGAACTTATGATCCTCCTGATTCAGCCTCCCATGTAGCTGGAATGACAGGTGTACAATCACCACACGTAATTCTTACATCTACTTGGAGAAGAGCAGACAAACTTGAAATGTGACAGGTAATGACAGGCAGCTTGGCCTGGCCGGAAGTTCACACGCAAGAGCTATGCTGGGCTGATAAGGGGGCTTGCAGCCTTTGGGCAAATGGAGGCCGGACAGGAATAGTGCATACTATTTCTTTTCCATAAAATACCCCTAGCAAAACTGTCCCTGCTATAGCATAGTTGTTGTTGTTGTTGGTTTTTTTTTTTTTTTTTTTTGAGGCAGGGACTTGTTGTGTAGTTTGGGGTGGCCTTGAACTCACTATGTAGCCTAGGCTGGCCTCGAACTCATGCTGATCCTCCTGCCTCAGCCTCCCGAGTGCTGAGATTACAGGTGTGTGCTACCATGCCTATTCAGTATACCATAGTTTAAAAGAGGGAATAAAATATAAAGCACCAGATCTTTTTTTTTTTTTTTTTTTTTTTGTCGTTTTGAGACAGGGTCTCGCTATGCAGTTCAGGCTGGCCTTGAGCTCACTTTGTAGCCCAGGCTGGCCTGGAACTTGAGCCCCAGATCTTAAATGTAAACTTGTCTTCAAAATGTTTTATTGTTCTCTTCTTATAATTTTAGGGACATTGTTGGACTCTCTATAAAAAAAAACAAACCCAATTCATTTCTTTATAGAGAAGTACTCTTTCTCAAGTGCATATGCGCCTGTATTGAACATATTTACTTCCAAAACATGTATTCTAGAAAAAAGCAGAACTGTGCTTCACTTACTGCTCCTTCGCGGACACATATGGCTTTCACGGTTCCTTGGGGCTCACGAAGTGCGTTCTGGAGAAATTCACTCTTTGTGTTTCTGAACACATCACTGATATCTGTAATCTGGAAAATAGGTAACAAAAAGGGCTAATGAAACAGAAAGTCATTTTTATCTCAAACCACTGTACCAACAAGATTATTTTTTGTTTGTTTTTGTTTTCTGAGACGAAGTTTTCCTATGTAGTTCAGACTGGCCTTAAACACACTATTATAGCCCAGGCTGGCCTCAAACTTGTGATGATCCTCCTGCCTCGGCCTCTCAAGTGCTAGGATTAAGCTGTGTGCCACCATCCCCGGCTTTTTTGATTTACTGAGACAAGGTCTCACTATGTAGTCCAAGATGGCCTTGAATTTGCTGTGAGCCTCCTGTATTAGCTTCCTGAGTGCTGGACCACGTATGTGTACCACTATGCTTGGCAACAAGATTTTAATGACGGGACTATATCTTGATAAGTTAAAATTTATAGGGGCATCCATAGAGGGTTAATCTTAGGTTCAAAAGTCTTTTATATACATTCATTTCATTATTCATTTTTCTTTTTTTTTTGTAGTGGGGATTGAACCCAGGCTTTACCACTCTACATCCTCAGGCCTTTTAAAATTTCATTTGGGACAGGGTCTTGCTAAATTGCTCAGGCTGGACTTGGTGATCCTTCTGCCTCAGCCTCCTAGTTAGCTGGAATCACAGGTGTATGACACCATCCATGCTCAATTTTTATTGTCTCCACTTCATAAAAGAAGGAACTAAGGAGGGAGAGAGATATAAGGGAGATTAATGGGAGGAGGGATATAATCAAAATATGGTATACTCCTGCATGAAAATGCCTCAGTGAAACCCAGCATTTTATAAAATTGACATGCACTACTAAAGTATATATATATATAGGAAAAAAGGGAATTGAAGCAGAGAAGGAAATAAGTTGCCCAAAAGAACACGGGTGGGCAGAGTCAGAATCTAACCCAAGTTGCCTGATTTAAGGATGACTATTTTGAGGGCAAGTGGCCAGGCCTGTAATTCCAGAATCCTGAAAGGCCAAGGCAGGATTGAAAGTTCTAGCCTAGCCCGGGCAATTTAGCACCTTAGTGAGATCCTGTTTCAAAACAGAAAATTAAAAAAAGGGCTAAGGATGTATTTAGTATGAAGGCCCTAAATTTAACCTCTAGTACGGTCAAGAAAGAAAGAAAAAAAAAGAACTACTACTCCATGTGACCAATGAAGAAACAAGGAACAGCTAGGTTGGTATTTATAGCGTTTTTGTTTTTCCTTTTTTCGTGGTTTTTTTTTTTTTTTGGTGTTTTTAAGACAGGGTCTCACTATGCAGTTCAGGCTGGCCTTGAGCTGACTTTGTAGCCCAGGCTGGTCTCGAACTCGCAATGATCCTCCTGTCTCAGCCTCCTGAGTGCTGGGATTACAGGTGTGCGCCACCACACCCAGCTTTTTTTTGGTGTTTTGAAACAGGGTCTCACTATGTAGTTCAGGGTGGCTTGAACTTGTGGTGATTCTCTGGCCTTAGCCTCCTGAGTGCTGGGGTTACAGGTGTGTACCACCACAGCTGGAAATTTTTTTGGCTTTTTTTTTTTTTTTTTTTGAGACATTGTCTTGCTGTGTAGTTCAGGCTGACTTTGAACTCATTATGTAGCCCAGGCTGGCCTCAAACCCGTGGTGATCCCCTTGCCTCAGCCTCCTGAGTGCTGGTGGCATGTGCCACCAGCCTCAGCTTGACTTGGTATTTATAATACAGGATATGGTTATGACTTTGTGTATGTTACTTTTCTTCAATTGTAAGCTCTCAACACTGACTATTCATAGCCCATGTAGAATTCCATTTTTTTTTTTTTAAGATAGTGTCTCACTCAAGCTAGTCCTCAAGTTCTGGGCCTTTGACTCAGCACCCTTAGTGGCTAGAACTACAAGTGCACGCCACCAAACTGGCACTGAATTCAATTTCTTAATAACTTGCAGTGCAGTGTTTGGGAAGCTGAGGCAGGAGGACTGTGAGTTAGAGAATAGCATGGACTACAGAGCCAGTTCCACGCCAGTGAGGTCCTGTCTTAACAATTTAAGTGAGAACTGATTTCAGAGATGTCACCAGCATCACACAGATCAAGGGAGAATGCTCTTTTGGAACAAATAAGAGGATGCTGGTATCAAACTCTATACACACTTGGTATACTTATAATACTTACAAATATTAATAATCTGAATAAATGTGTTTACATGTTTGAACTTTTAAAAATTTATTTTTTACATCATTTTTAAATTAACAGTATTATTGTTCTTTTATTTTGTTCATCCTTTTTTCTTTTTTGAGACGGGTCTCGCTATGTCTCAGCCTGGCCTGAACATACTAGGTAGCCAGGGCTGGCCTTGAACTCACGGCAATCCTCCTGCCTCCGCCTCCCAAGTGCTGGGATTACAGGAGTGTGCAACCATGCCTGGGTAATACTCTCTTTTTTAAACTTAAAAAATTAAAATATGCCATCTACATTTTAAAAAAATAAAACCTTGTGTCAAGCGCTGACTTTCAATAGATCACAGTGAGAGGGCTGCTCTGCTATATACGAAACCCCGACCCGGAAGCAGGTTGCCTATGAATGGTTCACAGCCACTCAGAGCTGGTTTTTTTTGGTACCAGGAATCAAACTCAGGACCTTGCGCTTGCCAGGCAGGCGCTTATGCCACTGAGCTATATCCCCGGCCCCGCTTAGAACTCTTAATCATTTGCCTCCCAGGTACCATTTGGGCTTAAAAAGATTGAAAAGTTTTCCATACAATTAATAACTGATAAGTACTGCAATAAAAACTTTACAGCAAGAGTCTTGGTCTTGGAAATGGGTCTCAGAACACACTGGACGCATACTCTCTCTTGCCATAGCTCGGTAACAACAAAGGTGACAACGGGCTGTAGAACCGTATGGGAACAGGGCACTGGGAAAGTGAAACCAGTACCTTCATCTCGAAGCGAGTGTCGGGTTTATCAGTTCCATACGTGGCCAGCGCTTCAGCAAAAGTCATGGAAGGAAAAGGAATCACCACAGGATCTTTGTCACTGGGCCAGGAATACTGGAGCAAACCCTCAGTTAAACTCTGGATCCCAGTCTTGTCTACAAAAGACATCTCTATGTCAATCTGAAACCAAAATAACATACGGAAGCTAGCTTGAACAGTCACCATATATATATTTCACTGATTTCAAGCTACCACAGGATTCTGCATACAAACGATATGTACAAAGGCTATGCATACTGTACAACTGCACTGTACTAATGGCTTCCATAAATCAGTACTGTAGCTCATGGTTTAAGGCTCAGAGAGACTAAGTAACTTGCTTGCTATCTGCAATTAGTGAGCAGTAACGCTACATGTGATCCCTGGTCTATCCAGTTCCCAAGTTTATGATTTTTGTATTTCCTCACATTATCAAATAGAAACCAAGTCGTAGTGGCTTTGGTAAGCCTGCAGATTAGGTAAGTAGATTACACATCAAGGTACAGAGTTCCTAGCCCCTAATGTATAACAGATTTGCTTTAAAGACGATCTTATGACATAACACGGTAGAGCTCTCTGGCATGGATGACCACACTCTTTACAAAAAGGACATACGAAATGGATCGTAAGTTGAATGAGTGCCTCAAATGTAAGTTAGTGGAATTAAGTATCTGATGGGTAAAATGTGATGCACAGGAAGCTATATGAAAGTAGAGCTCTCGTCTTGAAATACTTGGCTGTAGGAGGCCTGAGTTTGTAAGAAGCAAGTAAGTATAACTTAGTACCTGAGTAAACTCAGGCTGCCTATCAGGTCTCGAACCCTCATCTCGGTAACATCGGGCAACCTGAAAATATCTACAATGGAAAAATAGTATCAAGTAAGTCATGATTCTAGGAAGACACATACACTTCCCCCCAAAAGTTCATGGCAATGCAAGCAATCAAATAAATTTAATAATGACATCTGAAAGACGTGAGAAATGTTTTGATTGTTTGATTTTTATTTTTTTTTTGAGACAGTGTCTCACTGTGTTTCAAGCCGGCCTTGAACTTAGTACTGGAGCCCCAGACCTTGAACTTTCGATCCTCCTGTTTAACCTCCCAGAGTAATGGAATTATAGGTGTGTGCCACCATTCCTGCTTAGAATCTTTATTTTAAAATAATGTTTTAATGAGATACACAGCTGACCAATGAAAAAATGCTATTCTATATATTATTTTCAAAATATATTCAGGTACCTTGAGATGTTCCTATGTTAGACAGGCATGCAGATCAGTCCATACTTCTTTACACTCTTTTTTTTTTTCCTTTTGAAGCAGTTTCACTATGTAGGCTGGCCTTGAGCTCACTTTGTAGCCCAGGCTGCCCTCGAACTTGCAGCAATCCTCCTGCCTCAGCCTCCTGAGTGCTGGGATTACAGTGTGTATCACCATGCCCGGCCAGATACTCTTTTTTCTTCAGGAAAACTGAAGTATTTACTTCCTATATGAATACACTTGAGCTTTTCTGTGCTGTGTGATTCCAGCCCTCACCTTCACCTACTGAAATGCAGCTCTGTCACTGAAGGTCTAGCTCAAAAGACTTTCTATAATATTCTGTCAAACATTGCGATTTTATTTTATTTCATTTTTTTCTTATTTTAAAGAAAAAAAAACAGCCAAGTGTGGTGACGCACGCCTGTAATCCCAGCACTTGGGAGGCTGAGGCAGGAGGATCATTGTGAGTTCTAGGCCAGCCTGAGCTACAAAGTGAGCTCAAGGCCAGCCTGAACTGCATAGCGAGACCCTGTCTCAAAAAGACCAGAAAAAAAAAAAAAAGAAAAGAAAAAGAAAGAAAAAACACCTACAATAAACACAAACATAAGAACAAAATCCCAGGACAACATGATAGGAGGTAACAATAGTCAGTACATTGCCACATTGTGCATTGTTATCTTTGAATTAGTTGTTCAGAATATGAGATATCAGTATTTAATTGTCCAGACAATGTTAGCACAAACCTCTTTTCGGTGCACTGAGAGAAATCAGCAGCATACCTATCTTAACTATTTTTTAATATGTACATATATACATATTTTTTTACTTTTGCTTTTCCCTTCATCCTTTTTTCTCATTCTCCTAAACCAGTTTCTCTTTCAAGTTTCCTCCCACTTTACAATAAACACTGTGATTTTAAACAATACCTAATTTGCAAAATTTTAAGGCATTTCTATTTCTATTTCACAGTTAGGTTTATTCATTCTCCTACTCTGCCCTACTAATCTCCTTAACTCCTTAAAAAAAACCTCCTGCCACGCCCACTAGCACAGAGCTTTCTACAGGGTGGCCGCAGAGTAAATCTTGTCTGAATGACTACTATAAACTTCCAGGGACTATTTATTCTCCGAACTCACATAAATTTTCTAAACGTCTCTTAAGAGCTCTGACAATTTCCTGAGTTGTTTTTTCTTTTCCTTTTCTGACAACTAATAGCATTTTTAAAAAAAAAACAACTCACCTGTCTAAACCGCCAATCATCAGAAGCTGCTTAAACTGTTGAGGACTCTGAGGGAGAGAATAAAACTTCCCGGGTTCCCTGGATGGTACTAAAAACTCTTTGGCGCCCTTTTAAAGAGGGAGAAGAGAGATATTATTAAAAACAACACAGTTGGGCAGGTGGCACATGCCTGTAATCCCAGAACTTTGGAAAGCTGAGGCAGGAGGATAGCAAGTTTGAATCCAGTCTGGGTAACTTAGTCACTTAGCAAGAATGTCTCAAAATAAAAAATACAAATAAGCCTGGGATATAGCACAGCGCAAAGGTCCTGGGTTTAGTCTTCAGTACCAAAAAACAATAACAACAACAAAAAAAGTCTAACTGCCCGGTGGAAGATGATACTTCAGCTCACTGATGAAACTAAAGAGTAAAGTTCTCAGAATGGCAGAGATGACTTCTTGCTCATCTTTCAGTCTCTAAGAAGGCTTGCACAGCCGGGCGTGGTGGTACATGCCTGTAATCCCAGCACTCTGGGAGGCGGAAGCAGGAGGATCACAAATTCAGGCCCGACATGGGCAATTTAGTGACCTTGTGAGACTGTCTCAAAATAAAAAAGGGTTAGGAATACAGCTTAGTGTGAAGGCTGTCGGTTCAATCCCCGGTACCTCGGTGTGTGTGGGCGGGTGTGCTTTCAAAACTGTTTCTACACAGTGGTTATTAAACATCTGCTTGTTGAAATGAATTCCCAATTCAGTTACTAGCTGAACAAATTCTGTGCATTACATCCTAAGTAATTCCTAACTGCTTTTCTAAATTAAATTGTAGTTTTATAAGTCTATAGATTGAATAGATGACACTGATGTTTAGAAATGTCAGCATTTTTCTCTTACTCATACATTATCTACCTTCCTTGTGCCCATCTGAGTTAGCTGCTTTCTCCAGGCTTCGTGGGCTGGTAAGGGAAAGGAACGCAGAGGGCGGATCAGACCTGAGAATCTATGGGAAGTGGAGAGAGCACCTTCATGACGAAGAGGCGGAGACAGGCCGCCAATCGGCCGAGAGCCCCGTGCTGGGGGCGCGTGAAGCCCAGAGCGGCACAGGGGAAGAACTACTGCTCTGGAGGAGGGTTCTTGACACAGGCAAAGAAGAGGCTCTTAATCGCAGCCCCAAAGCCAGCCAACCCCACCACGGTGGGCTCGGCTCCAGCGAACCTGGCTGCTGGGCCAACGTCCTTTGAAAGGGCAGTGGCACGGATGTGGAAGCTAGAGCGAGGGACAAGTGCCACTGAGGCTCCACCCGTCACCGGCTGGCTCAGAGGTGAGAGGTGCTCCTGACCAAGACGTGAGCGCAGATGAACTTGCAGTAGGCAGATATTTTTGGGAGTTACAGGCCTATGGCAGGAGAGCTGCTCCCAGCACAGAAAAGATGGAGAAGGCCAAGTACGTATCTATTTACACATAATTAGAGATGTCAGTTGTTAATGAATGCGGGTTTTGTTTTAAAGAAACAATTTATTAATAATTTGCATTTATAAACCTCAAGGGGAAGAAAACTCAGGGAATAAAAGAGTTCTAAATGCCGACCCACATAATTTTCTCATTTCATGGGGAAACCTAGTTAGTATGACTATCCTGAGGCAGTAAATAAAATAAAATAAAATAAAATAAAATAAAAATTAGGGGCTGGGGATTTAGCTCAGCGGCACAGCGCCCTGCCTGGCAAGCGCAGGTCGTCAGTTTGATTCCCAGTACCGGAAAAAAAGCAAAAATAAATAAATAAAAAAAATAAAATTTAAAAAGTGGACCAAGTGAATATAAAAGCAAAGTGGTCCATTTTTATAACTAATAGGATATTATTAGCAGAATGATTTAAGTAATATACATACCCCTGGGGTCCTCTTAAATAATGTTGGGGTTTCTACATCCACAAACCCTGGAAAGAGGAAAACATGAGACTTCAATACATAGAATTTTAGAATTTGAAATATGATATCTATTGTATAGTTCAATAAATCAGAGGCTCCCTCTTATTGGTATTTTCAAATGAGCTACCAAGCCTAGTGATGTTGGTTTCTACAAATCCAACAAGACAGGTGAAATTTTCCCTAAAATCCTGTCCTGTTCATAAGCCTGATACTTCCGATATGAAATAATTCCAAATAGTCGATGGATTCTGGTGTATACAACTGTTCATGTTCAAAATGTTCTGCCTGTGTACTGAAAATAACATAAGCAGACAAGGAAAAAATCCAGGACAGATCAAGGGTTTAGTTTAATTCACAGGCTATTTCTGAGTTTTCTTTCTTTCTTTCTTTTTTTGTCTTTTTGAGACAGGGTCTCGCTATGCAGTTCAGCCTGACCTTGAGCTCACTTTGTAGCCCAGGCTGGTCTCGAACTCACATCGATCCTCATGCCTCAGCCTTCCACGTGTTGTGGTTACAGGCGTGCGCCACCACACCCGACTTATTTCTGAGTTTTCAAGCAATGACATCTAAGCTTAATAAAGAATCAAGAAGGGCTAGGGTGCGGGTTCAGTGGTAGAGCACCGTGAAAATAAACTGAATGAGGCGATACTACACTAAGCAATGTAACAGGTGTTCTCATCTTTAAAAGGATGTGCTTGGGACCCAGTAAGGAACTATTTATTAAATTAGCTCTAGGACAAAACACTCAATTAATGTTTCTTCAAACACTATCCCACCACACTGAATGAATTCTAGATTTCTGGCATCATCTGGCCCAATGACGTGAAGAAAAGGATACAATGAAACTGAATAAAACAGAAGAGATCCAAAAAGCTCCAAAGACGTCCAGGCTTCCCCGTACCGTGCAGATTGCAAAGATACTCCCGCATCTTCATGACCATCTGGGACCTGACGCGCAGGTTGTGCTGCATTTGGACACTCCGCAAGTCCAGGTACCGATACTGCAAACGCAGAGCCTCTGTTTTCTAAACAAATTAAAAAATACTTATGTTGAAATATTTTTTGAATATTAGAAAAGTGCTATCTTTAGTACATAATGTGATTATCAAAAACTGGCTTCCACCATCAAGTAGCACAGCGTGCTGTGTGCATCTGTGTACACCCTGCTGCTTCGAAGCTTGCTATGGGCACAGATTTTACGGTTTTTGTTTCTTTTTTTTTGAGACAGGGTCTCACTATGTAGTTCAGACTGGCCTTGAACTCACTATGTAGCCCAGGCTGGCCTTCAACTCCTGGCAATCCTCCTGCCTCAGCCTCCAGTATGTTGGGATTACAGATGTGTACCACCACACCTGGCTCGCTTACTTTCTTACCATTTCTTAGTATTAAAATCACCCTTCACTGATTGACATTTATTTATTTACTTAACACTCATCTCTTAAGCCCATAGTTGACTCATGAAAAACAAAAAAGGTAAAGATTTCAGGGATATTATAAAGAGATAGGGCAAAGTGAAAAACAGCTATGAGTTTAGTACCTAATGGGACACTGACTGTAAGTGTAAGGACTGAAGAGAGGGTACTTAGACTCTCCAGAGCTGTGCAAGCAGAATACAGCGAGGACTGCTTATTCTCAAGGCTATAAATCCTGCATGTCTCTTTGTGCTGAGAACTTAAGGATAGGCATAGTATGTATGAGGCCCTAGGCTTGATCCCTGGCATAACAAGAAAAGTATGCAGTACGTAAGTCTGTAACTGTGACAAAGCTGAAAATCATCTGGGTGCTTGTACCCTGTACTGTCTAGCTCCATTAACCTGTCAAACTTTGATAAAGAACATCCTAAATCAGCTGGGCATAGTGGCACACTCATGTAATCCTAGCACTTGGGAGGCTGAGGCAGGAGAACTGCCATGAGTTTATGAGTTTGAGCCCAGCTTTGGCTACCTAATGAGTTCAAAGCCAGCCTGAACTACACAGTAAGACTGTTTGAAAAACAAAACAGCCAGGAGTGGTGGTGCACGCCTGTAATCCCAGCACTCAGGAGGCTGAGGCAGGAGGATCATTGCAAGTTTGAGACCAGCCTGGGCTACAAAGTGAGCTCAAAGCCAGCCTGAATTGCATAGCGAGACCTTGTCTCAAAAAGACAAAAACAACCAAGAAAAAATAACGAAACACATCCTAAATTATAGTAATTATATTTACATGCATGGTTAGAAGTCAGGAGTTGCTCTAAGTACACATTTTATCACTGTTAGAAGCTTATACTGGGCTGGGGAGATAGCACAGTGGCACAAATGCCTCCCTGGCAAGCACAAGGTCCTGAGTTCGATTCTTAGTACCAAAAAAAAAAAAAAAAAGAAGAAGTTTATACTTAAAAAGTACAGGATTCCCCTATGCCATCTAGCCATTTTCAAGCAAGATACAAATTTCCTTTTAAAATGTTAAACAATACCAACAAAAAACTTGAATAACATAACACCTTCAAGATACTCATGTTTCAATGTGTGGAAAAGAGCAGTCTGGGGAGGGGGTGGCAAACCTTTGGCACGCGTGCCACAGCGGGCTGCTTGTATCACTGAAAGCTCTAAAAGGTTCGCCATCACTGGCCTAGGGTGTTTAGAGAAACAGATGAATGAACTATCACTATCTGAGAATAATTTATAGCCAGGCATGGTGGTGTACACCAGTGGCCCTATTACTTTGGGAGGCTCAGGCAGGGGGACTGCAAGAGGAAGCCCAGCCTGGGCAACAGGGCAACTTGGCAAGACCCTGTCTCAAAAAAAATAATTAATTAATTAATTTTTAAAAAAGGGGGGTCAGGGATGTAGCTCCGTGTGAAGACCCCGGACTCAAACCCCTGAGTTCAAGGCCAGCCTGAACTACACAGCGAGACCCTATCTCAAAAAACAAAACAAAACAAAGCAAACCAACCCAACCTGTCAAGCAATTTTAGAACAGAACAATTCATGATTCTTTCATAATAAAATGTTTAATTTTGTAGAAGGTAAACTACTTAAAAAAAAAAATCTCCGAAAATACTTCACTGGTCATCAACATTTTCTAGACTCTCTCTTACTAATAACAGAGGATGGCACCTTCACGAAGTCTTTAATTTCAAAGGGCAGCTTCCTGCAGGAGTTCAGAAGCTCCGCTGTTTTAACTTGGATTTCGATCGCTCCTGTGGGCATTTTCTTAGAGAGAAAAAGAGAAAGACGTGCTTTAAAAATCACTCATCACGACATGCGGACAACGCACAGTTGTAATACTTACATAAAATGTGTAGGTGCTTACAGTGTATAGTAAAAAGCATAAGCGGACATGATTTGGTACTCTTATGCATATCTGAAGCTGATCTGAAGTGTGAGTATTTCAGATACTGAAATACCGCCATGCAGCATCAACAGATGTCTTACATGCACATTCATAAGGTCTGTGTGTGAGGAAGGTGTTGGAGTCTGGAGGTTCATGCGGAGAATTTCTGGAGCCTTAGTGCCTAATCCCGCGGGGGATTAGGCGCGCGTGAGTGTGCACACGGACACTGCAAATGCACACAGGTGAAAGTCACACACACAGCTTCCAAAATACCAACTGGGTTTTCTTGTCCTGGAGGACGGGAGATGACTGTCCCGGAAATGCGCACCACAGATTCCAGAGGGGCTTCACATAAAACCTTCTTCACAGAGGCAGCTGACTGGAAAACAGTTTCAAAAAGTGAACATAAGGAGACCATTTATGTAACTGTAAACCTGTGGTGCAGGAAAATGTTAATATTCACAGCTGATCTGCCATAAAGTTGGTGCTTCCCTTAGGATCTCTGGGTTCGTCTCAGAGGCAGTCAAACCCAATGGCGCTAACTGCACAAAGTGAGAATGCTCTGGTAGCAGGTACTAGGGCTCAAGGTCAATCCTCAGTGCCACGACAGCAACCACAACCAACTAAAATTCCAGGTGGCTCCAATTCACATCTCTCTATGTATGGGCGAGGTCAGGAAGACTTCCTTGTGTCTCCAAGCCATCGATGTGTATTTTTTGTAAATTTTACGTTCACCGCCTGGGCTCATAATTGTACTGAGTCTTAAGTTTGCGCGTGTGTGGTGCTGGGCATTGAGCCTGGAGCTACTCTGAGCCACAGCCCTAGCCTGCTGGTCTTTTCTTTGTAGTCTTTTTTTTTTTTTTTGAGACTGCATCTTGCTATGCAGTCCTGGGCAGCTTTGAACTTGTGATGTAACCCAGGCTGGCCTTAAACTCATGATTCTACTGCCTCAGCCTCCCATGTGCTAAGATTACAGGCACGTGCCACCATGCCCAGGTATAGTACCCCTTTCAGATATTAAAGTAAAAGATACCCCTTTCAGATATTAAAGTAAAATGTATTAGATAAAAGTAGCTTGTCTATGATATGACTTGCACACATTTTTAAAAAAAATTTGCCATTTTGGGGGTTTTTTCTTGAGAGGGGGTAACTCACTATATAGCCCAGGCTGGCTCAAACTTGAGGTAATCCTCCTGCCTCAGCCTTCTGAATGCTGGGATTACAGGTGTAATCCATGCCTGGTTTTTTTTAGTTTTTTGAGACAGGGTCTTGCGATGTTAATTCAAGTTGGCCTTAAACTCAGTATGTAGCTCAGGTTGGCCTTGAACTTGCAGCCATCCTCCTGCCTCAGCCTCCCAAGTGCTGGGATTACAGGAATTACTTGCCTTGATGCCAGGAAAGTTTGCTATGTTTTAAATGTTGCTTATAGTAGTTCTCAGTTTTGTTTTGTTTTAACCTTTTACACACACTAGGCAAGTGCTCTACCACTTAGATATATCCCCAGCCCTCAGTTGCATTTTTTTTTTGAGACAGGGTGTCGCTATGCAGTTCAGGCTGGCCTTGAGCTCATTTTGTAGCCCAGACTGGTCTCGAACTCACAACGATCCTTCTTCCTCAGCCTCCCAAGTGCTGGGAGGTGTGTGCCACTATACCCGGCAGTACTCAGTTTTTATTAATGATAAACCTCTAAACTCAAAACTTCAAGCATACTTATCAAACTACTCAGCTCACCCTCGCCATAGCATGAAAGCAGCTTTTAGGTAATGACAGGAAACTGAAGCCGGGCGTGGTGGCCCATGCCTGTGATCCCAGCACTCGGGAGGCTGAGGCAGGAGGATCGTTGCGAGTTTGAGACCAGCCTGGGCTACAAAGTGAGCTCAAGTCCAGCCTGAACTGCATAGCGAGACCCCACCTCAAAAAGACAAAAAATAAAAAAAAAAAAGATAGGAAACTGATTACCTCATCCTGAGGAATGACAACTTGAACAAGTCCATGGCAATCTCGCAGGACCAAGAAGATGTTCTGCCTGTTAATAAAGAAAGAACGAACACTTTAGGAGAAAATCTTTGACCCCCAATTTTTTTTAAATTTGAAAGAGAAAAAAAAATTCAAAACATGGTAATAGGAGGGTAACGATGGTTAACACATTGCGTATTATTATCTTTAAATTAGTTACTCAGAATACAAGATATGGGCATTTAACTGTCTAAACAATATTAGCACGACTCTTTCTTTTCAATGAACTAAGAGAAATTAGTAATATATCTATCTTAATTTATATATATTACATATGCATTTTTTTGCTTTTCCCTTCTTTTCTCCATTCCCGCATGCCAGTTTCCCTTTCCTTTTGAAGGTTCTTCCCACCTCACAATCTCTGTGGTACATTTTGGATCTTACTTACTCTTTCAGCTTCTCACACTGGGGAGACAATGCAATGTTTGCACATGTGCCTCTGGTTCATTTTACTTATGAGTGTTGACCCCAAAATTTAAGCAGACAAAACCAATAAGCAACAAACAAAAAAACCCCTTTCTGGCAATTTCTCATGTTTTATTCTACAAATAAGGATGCACTTTCATTAGCGCCATTCATGTAATCGCTATTATGTTGCTTATTAATGAAAAATAAATCATTTTTCAATTTCTTATTGGTTTTTATATGGTTTACTAATCTATGGATGGCTTACTAATGAAAAAGCAGATTAAAAATTTTTTTAAAACAATTTTGATTGGGCATGGTAGTCCATGCTTAACAAAAACTGAAACAGAAATGTACAAAATTTTTGTTGGCTTAAGTCCTCATAAAAATTTTTTATTAAATTTGGAAACTTTCACAAAATCCAAAGGTAGTATTTTTAGGATATCAGAGACATCTGATCCCTGGGTGCAGTGGCACAGGGCTGTAATTCCAGCTACTCAGGAGGCTGAGGCAGGAGGATAGCAAGTTTCAGTCGAGCCTAGGCAATTTAGGGTGATCCTGTCTCAAAATAAAATTTTAAAAAGGGCTGGAGATCTAGCTCACTGGTAGAATTCTTGCCTAGCATGTGCAAGGCCTGGGGCTCAGTCCCCAGTACTGCAAAACAAAAAAAAAAGAAACATCTGTTTGTAACTTTTGAAATATAGAGATAGAAAGATAGGTCTTTTTCTTAAAAAGAATTAAAAAGTTATAACCCAAAAGTTGCTGTAAGGGTTCCAGCTATGAATTTAACAACTCTATAATGAAAAGGCCCCAGAAATTTCCATATTTTAGCATTCAATCTACATTTCTCACACTGTCCTTAATGCCAGGAAAAAATACAGAAAGCACCCTCAGGTTTTGGGCTCAAAGTCACCAAACTTATAGGGAAAGTATCTATCTACCCACTTGGGACATACGCTTTAGGAAGGTCACACAACCCATGCATTTTGCATCTCTTCAAGGTAATGCAATATTCAGATACATTCTGGAATACAGAGATAAACAACAAAAAGATGGGGCCTGACCTTCAGAAATCAGTATTCATGCTTTGCAGGCCTCTTCTCTACTTAAGCTTAGACTAAAATAAGCTCTCTCCACCCATGCTATTGGAGTTTCACATCAGGTTTACAGGATGTTGACCCATTCTTAGTTACTAGTCAGAGGAACTTTTCAAACTTCAGTAAACCCAAGGTCAGATACTCCACTGGTGGATCAATCTCCATTATTACAGAAAATGTCATTAGGTCTTACACTATTTAGATCTTTGAAAACAATAACAGAACTGCAAATTTAGTAATTTCTGTGTCTCAGTAGAGCTGCAAGGTTTCTTACTCTTCTAACTGGTTAAAAATTAGTGATGGTTTAGAATGGCTTTAAGGAAACAACCACCAGGTATTCTTAAACTGTGTGTCTCAATTTACCTTCGGTATTGAATCCATCCGCACAAGGTGACTTCTTGACCCAAGTGAGAAGGCCGCAATTCTCCACATGTGTTGGTCCGGGAAACAAAGCTACTGAATTCTTAAAAAAGAAAAGAAAAAAGGTTTAAAAGGCAAGATTAAAATTATACTACTTGCAGATTATAGATTCTCAAATCACAGTCTCTTAGGTGCTTCAGGTCAATGGATCAAATTTATAAAATAAGTCAGATATGTAATTTGATTCATCCCCTATTAAATGGGTCTACAAACGTGTCAAACGCCAAGCGAATTTAAAATTTTGCCTTGTGTTAAGGAAATTAATTTTTTGGATCATTACACTTGCATTGATCTAAAATCCTACTTGCCTAATTCTAAGTATTATACATTCTTTGTCAAATGAAGTATGATCTTAGGAATTACAGAAATAACTTTCATTTTAGCACAAATCTCGTGTGCAACAGCTACTTGTACGCTGGACAACTATGAAGGTGTGAAAAGATTCTTTAGCCTATTAGTTGTATCAACTAGACGCAGAATATCCTATCTATGTGGTTACCTTTTTGTGATCTCGTTAAAAAATCAAGGAAAAAACTGCATTGTAAGGAAAGAGTGAGTGATCTCTTCTATGCATAAGACTATCCCGTTAACACTGGGGGGAAACGACTGTAGAGAACAGGTGGCAGATCTTCGCTGTTTTCACCTGGAATTTTCCTCTGTGAACTCAGCACCACGTTTCTGCAGAGAGAAACCCAGATGGGCTGGGAGGTCCTTCCGATGGGTCTGGATAAGGCCCTGCACAGCTGACTTAACCAAGAAGAGAAGTACATACTGAAGCCCAGAACGGCGAGATACAATCACGAATCTGTCGCTGCTGGCGTTGGGAAAGTGGTCAAAGCTCAGTTTCGGAAATACAGAAATCCCTTAAAATTCTACTTCCCTCTCTCTACTCCAATATTTAAGTCCTTCTCCGCTCCACGTGAGTATACGTGTCTACAAACGAGACATCTCCGACAGCTTTAGGGCCTTTCAATACACCAGCTCCCACTTCTATTAAACAAGGCTGCGGCGAAAGTGACAAGCGAACGATCCCGCCCAGAGGCGCCTGGCGCGAGCCCAAGATCACGGCGTCGCGGCGGGGCCCGCCACCAGCGCACGCGCTTCCCGTCTTTCCTCGCTTTCTGGAAGACTGCGGAGAGAACCGGAAAACAGGGACAGTCTCGCGTTTCAAATCTCCTAGCCCGAACGGCCGGAGTGAGGCTTTCTGAAAGAAGGAAGCAAACAAATCCAATGCACGTTTGCACCCAAACCCATCCGGCTGATCTCGTCCTTCCACCCGCTCTCCGTGAGGCCCTAAGATTGCGCCAGAGGCATTTGACCAATCAAGTGGGACGTGCTGCCTCCATGCTTACTACGGGCGGAAATTTGAGGGACAGCTTCGCACCGGTAGAAAGACCTAAAGGAACCCGCGCAATTGGGAATGTTGTCCATAATGATTAAGTCTCTCGGTCCTGCCCTCAGTTAAAATGGAGAGCTCGGTTGCTTCAGAGACACGAATTTGGCGGGCCGTCTGGAAGAGGCTTCCTGCGTCGCGCCGCGGAGCGCGTCGGGAAATGGTTTTAAACTGGAGGGCGGTGGCGGCCGAGCGGCCGTTTCTCAACCGCGGGATTTCAGTTGTGATTTTGATCGCAGGACAGCTCAGTTGTAGTAGTCAGGGCGCGCTTTTTCCCTTTCCCCTCCGCAGGCAGAAGCCCGCTCCGCCAGAGTGAGGGGCGCGAAGCTGGAGCGCTGGGTGAGCGGAAATACCCTTCGCGGGTGAAGTCGCGGGCGTCCTGGGGAGCGGAGCTCTCCCGCCCCGGGCGCGCTGCGTCCCCGGCGAGCTCCCTTCTGGAGCGGGCGGGAGCTGGGGAGGGCCTGGGTTTGCTCTGGCCGCTGTCTTAGCTGCCGCTTTGGTGGCCTTTTTTTTTTCAGGAGATGTTAGTATAGACATAGTTTTGGAGCCGGACTTGAAGAGTTATTCGTGAATCCGGAATGGGTGACAGAGTCACCACGGCAGTGTACTGGTAAGATGCTTTGTATTGATCCAAGACTGGCTGTAAGCTTTGCATTTTGCCGTGTTGTGTGGCAGCTATCTTTACAGTACTTGTGTGTGGGATGCGGTTAACGTTCTGCTGAGCATTGGCATTGGGGCATTTGGACTCAGGTGTTGGCGGCAATGTAGGAAGTAATCACCGTAGGGTTCCTTTTTTCACGGACTAACCCAAACAGAAACAAGTAGGGGTATCTTGTTTGTTTGTGTTTTGGTGTTTTGAGACAGGTTCTAGCTGTGTAGTCCAGGTCTACCTTGACTCCTGGAGCTCAGGCTGGCTTCGAGCTGGCAGAGTTCCTCCTGAGTTGGGATTACTGGCGTGAGCCACCGCACTGGCTACAACTAAGTCTTGTTGTTTTGTTGTTTGTTTGTTTGTTTATTTATTTATTTGTTTTGAGACAGGGTGTCGCTATGCAGTTCAGGCTGGCCTTAAGCTCACTTTGTAGCCCAGGCTGGTCTCAAACTCACGACGGTCCTCCTGCCTCAGCCTCCCGAGTGCTGGCATTACAGGCATGCGCTGCCACGCCTGGCTGTTTTGTTGTTTCAAGACAGAGTCTTGGTATGTAGTTTAAGCTAGCCTTGAAGTCTGTGTAGCTCAGGCTGGCCTCAGACTCTAGGTGAGCCTCCTGCCTCAGCCTCCCAGTGCTGAGATTACAGGTGTGCGCCACCAACTCTGGCTCACGCCTATATTTTAATTGTGTGTTCCGAACAAGCTGTAAGTGCAAGAGGAGTTGGGTGGAGCTGTAGCTCTGTGGATCCCAGAAAGCTTCTCTCCTAAGGAGATGAAACCTGCTAAATTGATGACCACTTACTCTGTCTTCCTGTCAAGTGGGGAATGCACTAACTCACCTAATGGGTTGATTGAGGACTGACGATATTTGTTATTGGGTAGAAGAGTACCTGGAACATGATAATTGCTCAGTAAATGTTAGCAATTATTGTCCCATATAAACTTGGAGGAAGCAGTCTGTGTAAATGGGACTGATTAAAATTTCCTTTTCAGTAATGTTTTTAAAGCTAGAATGCTATAGACTAGCTGCTATTTAAATGTGGCTGAGAAGAACAGAAGAAGCTAGTGGCAGGAAGATGCTGGCATTTGTCTTACACTGCAATCAGATAGGGATCTTTTTTCAGAAGCAGGATAGAAGTGACAGTTCAGATAAGCAAGGCCATCATTGCTTCTTTATTTATTTATTTATTTTTGGTCTTTTTTTTTGAGACAGGGTCTCACTATGTAGTCCAGGCTGGCCTTGAGCTCACTTTGTAGCCCAGGCTGGACTCAAACTCACAATGATCCTCCTGCCTCAGCCTCCTGAGTGCTGGGATTACAAGTGTGCACCACCATGCCTGGCTCATCATTGCTTCTTTAAACAAAAGAAAAGCTCACCAAGAGTCAAAATAATCTTTGAATCTTTCTACCAAACACAAAGGCTGCTCTGATAGGTCCAAGGTTTGCTTTAAAAATAAAGGAGTCACTAAGCAGTGGGGTAAGAAAGACTTCAGAAGAGGTGCAGCACTTCCAGGGTTAGCAGCAGCAGCAGGCGTTGGCCAGCTTAATTTACAATTGGGGCTCCAGCTTCCCAACAGGCTTGCAGCTGCTGCTCCCTTCCAGCGTGGGCCACTGGGAAATTCCAGCTCCTCCCACAGCTCCTCTGGCCTTCTCATTGCTTCTTGGTACAGACATGACAAGAGGTGCTACTTCAACCTCCTCAGGAAAGGAAAAAAGTCCTCATTGTAGGCCCACCAGAGAGCACACTGGGAGGCTCACCAGGAATGTGGCCAAGGATCATATCACGGTGTTTTACACCTATGGGAAAATTTAAATGCTTACTGTGTCTATTGAGAGGATGCATCCCTGTCTATCCAAAGGCTGCACAAATGTGGAGTTTGGGAATCTGGATGAAGCTAGGAAGGCTCTGAAGCATGAGAGGGAATTAGTAGCTGAGATCACTGTTACCCTGTACTGGTCCCTGACCTAGACCAACACCCACCACCCTGGGTGATTCAGGCCTGCCAGGAGAACGCTGCCACAAATCAACGAATGGAATCAATGAATGGAAATAAAAGGAAAAAATTACAGGTGAAGTGGTGCATGCCTGTAATCCCAGCACTCAAGAAGCTGAGGCAGGAGGGTTGCCATGAGTTCAAGGCCTGCCTGGACTGCATAGCAAGAGCCTGTCTCAAAAAAACTTAAAAAAAATACAAAATAACAACAACAAAAATTAGTGGATAAAGGGGCAAAGAATGGAGCCAAAGAGAAAAGAGATGAAGGAAGAAGATAGAGGTGGAAGATGATGGTCGTGGAGACTCTAATGCTGGCCTCAACTCCTGTGCTGTGTGGATACTGGTTCTACTTCTAGTTACTGGAGCACGACTCCCATGCCGAGGATGGAGAAACCTGCCCCGACCAGGGGTGCCAGGTCACCAGTCAGAGGAGCTGCAGTTCCCAGTACAAGCATCTCAGAGAGGAAGTGCCGCAAGGCAAGGATGGTGCAGAGTGTGATGTGGAGCCCGCTTGTTGCAGATGTCAGTGGTGCGGTGCGGTGCGGAGGCAGCGCATCACAGATGCGAGCAGGGCCCTCATCCCAAAGGTCTGAGCGTGGAGGCCGTTCACCAGGTGTAGCCTGCCAGCGTGGAGCTGTTTACAGAGAAAGGAGAAGTGTGGGAAGCTGGGGAGCAGGCTCCCCATGGCTGTGATGGACACCGTGGCCAGCAGCTTTGTGACACCTTCAGGAAATGGCTCATGATGCTCCAAGCCGAGAGAGTGTTTTGCCTGGAGATGGGACCTCCAGCAGCAAACATGCTCCCCCAGGACAGCTGCAGCCCAGATCTGAATTTTAATTTTAAACACACTCTGAGGTACCTAAAACTGGGCTGTGGCCAACGAGAAATACAGAATTTGGTGGAAAAGCAACAGGAGGGAAGGAAAGAAGGAATTCCCCTATAATGAAAGAGGGTTCTGTAAAATTGTTAGCGTGAGTTAAGTTTTTAGTGCTTAGAGTTTTGTTTTGTTTTAGAATAAGAAAAAACACACTTAAAAAATAGAATTTTTTTTTTTAATGTAGACTATGGATCGTTATGATGCACCAGAATCGACGCCCAGACAAAGTGCAGCCTCAGGTCTTAGAGATTATTTCATAGGTGCCACCCCCCTGCAGAAACGACTGGAATCCATCAGGAAGCAGGCCTCAGTTCTCCCGACCCCACCTCGAAGGAAAATTCTGCAGTGTTCACGGTTGCAGGTATGCTTTTTTTTTTTTTTTTTTTTTTTTTTTTTTTTTTTTT